CTAGCCCTTGTACATGTCCTTGACTTATCTTGACTTGACTGACTTGACTTGAACTTGACTTGACTACCCTCTTAGTCTCCATCCAGCCTCTTTTCGTCGCTTCTGCTGTTCTTCTGCTTCTTCCTCGTTTGCTGCTTCACCGCTTCTGCAGGCGCCGGCCTGACCCCATCATCACATCCCATCTTCAACATCATTCTTCTTCTTCTTCTTCTTCTTCTTCTTCTTCTATTATTACTATTAGTAACTAGAATTCTCTCTGCAGCATTCTCCTATCTTCTTTTCTATAATCTTTCTCTCTCTCTCTCTCTCTCTCTCTCTCTCTCTTATTTCCTGTTACATCGACAACATCCATTGTCACTGCTTTCATATTTTCCCGCATCCCTGGCTTGACTATTCTTACTCATCATTTCTCGCCTTCCACGCTCTTCCAGCGTGGCTCTGGAATTTTCCCTTTCTTTCTTTCTTTCTCTCTTTCTTTCTCTTGATTAGCTCCCAGCTGCAACTTTGGCCACATTCTTCCAAAGTTTGCCCGCACCTTCTCACCCCTTTCGCAAAGGACCGTGGCGCAGTCTCAGCGTGGGTGTGTTTCCCCGTTCCCGTCCAGCTAAAAGACTCCTCCGCGTCGTCCCGTTCGCCGACGACGACACTGACCAACATCGCTCTCGATAACTCCCGCTTCTTCGCTTCTTCCTCGTGGCGACTTGCGTAGTTGTCATACGATTCTCTCACTTCTTCATCTATTTATCATTGTTCATTTATCACCGCCTCTTTCTTTGTTTCTTCTTCTTCTTCTTCTTCTTCCTCTTTCAATTCCTTCCTCCTACTTCTTAATTCCGTCTTACATATTCTCAAACCGTCATACCTCACCTCCTCCTCCACCTCCACCACCCCAAGGCCAATTAAACCACAAAGACTTTCCAACCGAAGTCCTCCTTGGACAGTTTCACGTTTCAAATTCACCTCCATCATCGTCAAAATAACAAAGAATAATTCATCGCAATTATGGCTCATTGTTGAGGCTCGACCTGTCGTCATCGTTACCCCTTACTTAAAATTATAATACGGGAACTTACCACAGCTCAACCACAATCGGCACGCCTAACTTTACTTTTTACCTTTCGTTTGGAACCGCCCCATCCATCTTTCGTTGCGAACCAGTCCACCTCTCCCCACAACTTCCCACGCTCCCACGACATGTCCGATAAGGCTATACTAGATCCATACAAGGCCCTGGGCATCACTAAGGATGCGACTATCGCAGAAATTAAAAGCGCTCATAGAAAACTGGTGTTGAAGTGCCACCCAGACAAAATCAAAGACGAAGACCAGCGCAAAGAGGCCATACCCGAATTCCAGAAAGTTCAATCGGCTTACGAGCTACTGTCGGATGACAAGAAACGAGCGGAATATGACTACAAAGTTGAGTTGCAAAAGCGATCGGCATTCCCTACTGAGGACGCAGGCTCGTCTTCATACCACCGACCTTCAGCATTCACCAAATCTTATGAGTATCGAAACGGGGCAGTCTATGAGGAGCGCGTGCCTAAAAGTAGCTTCTTTGACGACATCCCTCTTTCTGAAGAACCTCGACCCTCTTCCAGGAAGTATGATGGATACGAGCGGAAGCAGAATACAGAGCAAAAGGAAAAGAAGAAGTCCAGACATGTCGACCCTCCAATATCAAGCCGTTCAAGCAAGGAACGTGTACGTGAAACTCGCGAATCCGTGAAATCGAGTCGCTCCGACCGCGCAAAACATAGAGACAAAGAGCGGAGAAAAGACCGGGAACGTTCAGAGAAATACCCGAAAGCTTTCGTGGTCAGCGAACCTGAAGATGAAAATGGGTTTGATTCGGATAATCAATACTATGCCACCCCAAAAACACCGGAACCTGAATTTAAGGATATTCGGACGCAACGCACGTCAAATTCGAGTGAACCAGACCCAAAGCAAACCAGAGATGAGGAATATTCCGATGAATGGTCTTCGTCGAAACTAGATGATGCGAAAAAGTATATTCAACGGTCGAAAAACAGTGGATATTCATACGAAACTACTGAACGCCGTCCGTCTACTTCGTGGCCCTCGCCTTCTGCTTACTATAGCCCACATGTCGAAACACCACCCCGACGTTCCTCAGGTAGGACTCGAACCAGAGACTCTGTACGCCCCAGCTCATCAGGAAAGGATCGTAGAGGATCTGCCGACGTCCAGGATCCACCCTTGAAATCCTACCCTATTCCACGTCCTCCTACTCTACAGACTGCCACTTCCGCACCTTCAGGTTTGAGATTTCCCTTCCCGATCTCTACTAGACCCAGTCCAAAGCGACATGCTCCTCGCCGATCGGAGACCATGCCATTTCCAAACTTATTCCGCCGGTCCGAAACTCTGCCGACCAGACCCTCAAAAATGAGAGAACCCCAGGACTCCGGGTATTCAAGCCCCGGTACTCCAGAAATGCACTCGGGATCAAGCCCTCCATTGCCTGGCAGATACACCGTCGTTGACGAAAGTGAAGAATATGTATCTCACCGCGCCGTCCGTATCGAACCAAATCCTGGTCTGTACAGGCGGAACAAGAGCGTGTCCCCAACCCGCCACCCGTCCATGCCTGCCCCACCGCATCCTTCCGGATCTAGAACGTACAACTACCCAATCGATCCTACATTCATGCCAGCGCGTCACGATCCATCGATGCCCATGCCTTCAATGCACAACCCACCGCCCATACCAGGTGGGCTGAACCGAGATGGTTTGTTTGGGGAGGTCTTACCGGGCCAATACGATCGTCCCAAGATAATAATCCCCGAGAGTGATATCCGATATGCGCCCAGATTCCGCGAAGAGGATATTAGTTACAGTTACAGTCCGAGAATGGGACCCGCAGACCCCAATGTGTATCCAGAAACGTATCCGCGACCGCACGGTACGCGAAATGAGTCGGTTGCGTGCTGAATGATGAAGAAGAACAAGCTAACCTTCTTCTTCTCCTTCCATTTCTCCTCTTCAAATTATTACTATTTTATTCATAATTTTATTCATCTTTTTTTCCCCTTTTTTTCCCCTTGTTTGTTTCTTTTTCGTTTCGTTATTCTTTTTATTACGACTCGAATGAATCAATGTTACAACGATTATTTCCCCCTCATCTCACTTCATCTTATCTCATCAAATTTCTTTGTCAGTTATTTTTTTTTGTTTTGTTCATATTCCCTTTCCCCTGTTTACATTTCTGGGTTGCTTTTGGATTCCTCTCTCAAATATCATATCATATCATATCATATCATCTCGTACCATCTTTTGAACTGTTTTTGGATTTTTTTTCCCCTCTCGCGACGAAATGATGATAAACCCTAATGACCATCATCGATTATATAACCTGTTCTCTTTTCAACTCGCCTGACGGATACCGCTGGCTCCTATGTATGTCTCCGACCGCCTCAACCTCCCCTGCCTATTATTTAAACCATCGCCATCTTAGGAGGTTGGTGCTATTTTTCCATATTGTACGTTCGGATTTTTTTCTTTCCTCTTTTTTTCTTTTCTTTTCTTCTGGTTTCGTTCTTGTTCTGGTGGGGTATCTATCTACTGCACCTGTTTTGAGGCCATTTTTGCCCCATGAACCGTTGGAGTCAACCAACGAGCATCGAATCATCGAACATCGAACAAGTGGGCATACTATTTTTTTGTCTCGTTGGCCTTTTCTATATGTTTTATTTATTATCTTTTCTTCCTGTTTTAGCTGGAGCATCATCAAAGTCCCCTTCTATTTTTATCTGGAAGGCCCGGCAGGTGGAAGTACTGACTGGGCGAAGAAGGATTATGGACTGAGGCAAGGAGGAACATGGATTAGGGGCCTATGGTTGTTTTTTTTTTTTTTTTGTGGCATGGAAGGATGGAAGGATGGATAGGGTTCTCGGATTTTTCTCATATGATTATGATTCATCCATGCGTGTGTGTGTGAGTGTGTGTGTGTGTGTGTGCGTGTTGTGTATTTTTTTTTGGGATGGGGGGATATTTAAATCATTACATGGTGTTTCTTATCCTTTTCATTTTTTCATTTTTTTGTTATTGTAATGTGTTTTTGGTTTTAACGATTATGGAATGACAGTTGATTTTTTAACTATTTGCTTTCCCTATATACGGAGTATATATATATGATATACTAACTATTATCCAGGATCTAATCTCATTAATTGATGTTCTATTCCCTTCCAATTATTTTCTTCTGAGTACCTCGTAACTCACTCGTTCACTTATTAGCTGTATGTACAGTCCGTCAATCGCTCGCCGAAAGCATGCTATATCCAGCCGAACAGCCAAGAATATATTCCATTTTTTTTTTTTTGTCCGTATGACAGGGATGGGATATGATTTATTATGGAAAATATGAGAGAGGGATTAGTAATTAGGAGGTCAAAATATGTTAATGTATGTACATGTATAGTTATAGTTAAAAAGGAAAAACCCGTTTCGGTAAAAAAAATATGGTGGTTATGCGCAGGATGGTTCAACGGTCACGTGCACTTTACCCCAAACGTGGTTCCAATTCTCTCGAATCGGAACAAGTTCGTTGAGCCGGACTTGTCCCCATTTTCAACCCTGTTCATCCATGGGATGGGGGATGGGAGGGAGGAGGAGGAGGAGGAGGCGTTAGGCTGGGAACGATTCAAGGGAACTTCCAGGTATCCATCCGTCCATGACCGGTTTGTGTCTCGGTTCATGTAAGAAATGGAAAGGGGACAACTCTGCCGAGGCTGACAAAAACAGGGGGGTTCAAAGTCGTTCGATATGAATCGAATGTGCGCCGGTTTATGCTCTTTCCGGGGGGGGGGGGGGGGGGGGGGGGGGCCAGGGGTGGGGGGGGGGGGGTAACTCGATTGTTTTTCTTCAAAAAAAGGGAAAAAGTTCCCCGTTCCCGTGGCCAGCCCACGTGTCTCCCTGGATGACATGAGTAAAAGGAACTCCTAAGAACTCTTCGAGCAAAGTTTTTCAGATTTGATTTGAGTCGTATACTTCGTGGGCGATGGATGGTGTCAGTGGGGCCACGACATGAATTGGGCAATATCCCGTTGAAAACGGGATTGGTTAATGGACGAAAAGACGGAGAGGACAAACGCCGTTTTTTTTTTTTTTTTTGTTTTTTTGATTTGTTTTGATTTAAACCCCTCGCGAATCTAGCGATCCCGTCAGCCGAATCCCCCAAAAATCAGGCGCGCTGTTCGTGATAGATACCCACAAAGTCTCCCTGGGCTTATTCTATGTGCGTTGCATGTGCAAGGTATACGCACAGCTTCAGAGTGCCCGTCCATTGCTTCATGAGGTGGGCATCTCATGTATAGGGATGCTCTGGAACTTCTGGGGCCAGAAGCCATTCCGCGGAGCACCTGTGTCTAGCTCCTGAATCGCATCGACGGGTCGCAGTTGGTGGTGGCGGCGGCGGCGGCTGCGGCGGATGAAAAACACTAGAGCTATGAGTATCCCTACAGCGCCGACGGCACCGATAGCGATCCCGACTTTAGCGCCGGCGGAGAGTTCAGGCTCCTTGCCGTCACTAGAAGGGGGCAAAGAAGTTGGTGGAGGCTGATTGTTATTTGCTGGTTGGGACGGGGTTGGTTGGGTCGAGGTTTGGCTTGCAGTGGTGCTCGTAGAAGAACTGGAAGTGGTGATGGTGTTTGACAAGTACATGGAGAGGTCTTTCGATTCAAACTGGACGAGAATCGCCTGACCCCACATAGTTATTGGGCCTGTGACGACCGAGTGTGCAAGACTAGCCTGGCCAGTGCGGGCGAGGACGGTCGTTATGCTGGATTCAGGAAAGGTACTGATGCAGCCCGCAAAAATTGTTGTTTTGGAGTAGAAGTTTATCGTCGTGAGGGTTGTGAAGTAAGTATAGTCCCTGCAGAAGGTCATACATATATTAGTGATGCTGTTGACTCGTAGGAAGGCGGTGGATCTTATGATCTAGGCCGGACGTACGACGGGCAGCAGATTGCAGTTGTTACCGCGTTATTTGTTGTCGCGACTGGAGAGGTATAACCCTGGGGACAGTATCCTGGGCTATACACCTGTTGAATCTGTCCTCGTCCTATCCCTTCGAAGAAAGGGGGGAAACAATTGGGGTCGCGCTTGTTGAAGGCGTTCTGCATCAGCAGGCCGCCAGTTACGCTGTTGTAATATGCCTCTTCATAAGTCCAACTCGACGAGCAGGAAGATGGAGGAGTAAAAACTGATGTTAAGGGGACCGCGTCGCCCTTTGGATCCATCTTGCTGTAACCTCTTTGATATATCCCAACGAGGTCGTGGTAGACAGTTTTTTACTGCGGCAAATTGTTTCAAAGAAGGGACTGAACGATATAAAGGGGTTTGGATCGGGCGCAAGAGTTTTAAGAAAAAGATCGGAATTATGCCAATGTTCACCTTGTATATACAAGAAAGGGGAAAGAAGATGTTCAATTTCTCGGACATGGGATGTATCAAACATATTAATAGGATCTTCAAAGTTGGGCAGTCAGGGGCGCAAGCACTGTGTTTTGTCGGCACCAAGCAAGGGAAGCCGAGAGCGAAAATTAACCAATAGCCACCTTAATATACCAAACCAGAAATATTTGGGAAAGTGAGAAAACGTGTGCCCCCCGGTGTAATTGTTTCTTTCCATGGATGTAAATACAGGGATGCCAAATGCCTTCCGAGTCTCACCACGCATCAAATTGGACCTTAGGCCCTTAGTGCTGACGGGCTGCCAGGGATAGAATGGCTTTTTTGGGGGGCGAAATTGGCTGAAGGTCAGCAATGTGTTCGGTACTTCCAGATGCGCTCCTGAATATGAAGTTGTATCTAAATCGGTATGCTTGAGGGCCAGCGAGGTGGGAGCCAGCGTCAAAGTTTTGATAAACCCAACCAGCAAACAGTTGGCAAACCGCTCAGGATTGGGTCAGCCCCCATTAATTATTATTAGCCTCTTCCCGTCTTTAGCGCCGATGAAGATCCCTTGACCTGAAGCCACGATTATTGGCCAGGTACTGTACATACATGTACAGTACAAGCCTTGTCAGGAATGCAAGGGAACGCTGAAACTTTGGGGCCTGTATCGGAACATGGGAGCTGGCACTTTCTTCCTCAGCACGGCTTCTTATATCTCGACACAAAGTGCTGTTATCCACTTTCTAGTCTGCCTCTTGTCATTTTTGTGCAGCCAGCATGCCCTCTACCTTCCGCGGACGGCGTTATGTGATCGCTGGGAGCCTCGCTGCTTTTATATTCTTCACACTCTGTTGGCATTCCCGACAAAACATTGTCTTCCAGGGCCCGAGGAGTGCGCCTCAAGAAGATGCCCCTTATCAAGAGCATCCAGCCCAAAATGAGGACCATTCCCCCAAGCCCGCTGATAGTCCATCTATGGCATTGTCTCCTCCCGGAGATTACCTACCAACGTCAAGCGCGCCACATCAGGATCGTTTTTGCGCTGAACGATTTGACCTTGAGTACTTGAAAAATCTAGCCAAGAGTCAGACTAGCTATTGTGATGCCGGCTCTGCGTCAAGCATTACCTGTTTTCATAGTCAGATCGATCCAGGAGGGCGAACAGATTCATTCTGTATTTCAGGACCCGCGAGCTTCGACCACAGCCAAAAGAAATTCATTCTAGATTGTTCTCTCAGATCATTAAGTGATGAGGAGTCAAGGCAGGGCGTGCCGGAATTTGAGCAATTTCCGGCATACTGGTATGGGACGGGGCCGCATCAAATATTCAATAACTTTGTGCGTTTTGACCGGAAAGAAAAACCTTCCCACAAGCTTCCGCATGGACGACGGAATTTTTCGATCCTCATTAAACGCGAAGATAGTCACTATAACGTTTTCCATTCTCTCATGGAAATTATTGGCCTCACCTTGACGTTGGACACCATGAGGATGGCTCAAAATAAAGCCGTGAGCCTCCCATTTTTTATGCCAGAGGATATCGCCAATACCCAAGTTATTATTTTGGATGACCTCCTGGACGGCCCTTACTTTGATCTGTGGAAACTCTTTGCGAAGCAGCCAACGATCAGATTGAAGGACATATCAGCCACCGCACAGATCAACCTGGACAACATCATAGTTCCCTTGCCAGGAGGGGGTAGTCCCTTTTGGCAGAACCATTGGGAACCAATTCAATGTGAACAGTCGGAGCTTCTGCAAACCTTTGCCAAAAGAGTGCTCAACTTCTATAATATCCGAGACGACCCTCGCCCTGGGGATAGCCCGCTTGTGCTCACGTTCATAGACCGTAGAGAAAAAAGGCGCTTGATCAATCAGGAGCGATATATCGAACGTCTAAAGGCCAAATTCCCAGCTGTTGAGGTTAATCTAGTTGACTTGGCTGCGCTGCCCTTCAGGGAGCAAATAAAACTTGTTCGTCGCAGTGACATCCTCGCTGCCGTGCATGGGGCAGGCCTGACACATGGGATGTTCCTCCCGCCGCATTCCACAATCGCCGAAATACTTCCTCCCCAATTAAAACACAAAGGTTTCCGGAACCTTGCCAAAAAAATGGGACACAACTACTTCAGCAGCCATGCGGCGGAACATAAGACCAATGACTCGAAGAATGATTGGCAGTCTGACGACGTCTTTATTGAAGAGGATCGCTTTATGAATCTATTGGAAATCGCTTTGAAGAGCATGTACAACAGAGGTTTGCGCGATCAAGATGTCAATTGATTCTCGGTGGGCGAAGTTCGCTCCAGAGACGAAACTCATGATCTATTCCTAAGTGCAAATGTTGGTGGTTAATTCATTTGCATCTTGGTTAGTAGCAGGGACTGGGACAATGAAAAAGGACTCCTGTCTAATCCTAAGCTCGAGCTTCGGTTCAGGCGGAGAACAATCGCGTGTGAAAATGGGCGGGCGGCTCTAGGCACACCCTGGACATCCATGGATATTCGCAGGAATGAGCTGTATTGGACGTACTGTAGAATGTGCAAAGAGCGGTGACCCGTTAATTTCTTTCCGCGACGCGTCGAATAGCACTTTCGGCGTGGAGCTGGAGTGGAAGCCTTAAGACGGATGTCTGGCTTCTCCTCGGTCAAATTTTAATTTTAGTTGTTGTGCTATCATATCCGTCAATGCATTGATGCCAGCAATGCACTGGAAATAGGTGGATGCAAAAGTAATGTCAAATACTGTATATAAATTTGCAGGACTATGTTAGTTGTTCGCAACCCCATGTATTTTATAGTAACTGAAATACGGCCTCAATGCGTCAACACACTTGCCAAACTCCTCAGGCTGTCTCTTCAGTCTTTCTCGTCACCTATCCGTCTCCGCTAGGTCCAAGGTTCTCAGCGATCCCTTCATATATGGGTATAAGGCATCCTAACCCTAGCGCTACTTTTGAAGCATCGTACTCTCGAAAAGGGAATTTCCTCAAACGCTCTTCTAAGGCAGTTAACTACCTTCAGGACGACAAGATACATGCCAGACACTTATCATACATTAGCAATTGTGGGTGCTGTCACTGTCACTAAGGGCAACCGAAGGCTGACAGAGAAAGCAGATTCAGGGGGCCTAACCGTGCCAGGCCGGTCCGTGAAACCTCTGACAGGAGACTTTATGAACTCCAGAATCGTCACGCTGAACAGTATTTGGCTTTGACCGAGATTGTTTCAGCCAGCAGGGTTTGATACCCCTACAAAGTCACCTTTCCACCCCCATGGCTCTACCACCTTGACATGGGAGCTCCCCTCTCTGCTTCGAAATGTCGCTGATGCTGCTTCGATTTCAAAGCTACTCCATACTATTGTTTCAACGACCCACCGTCCGAGCGCACGGTAGGGTACCCGAGCATTCGTAGGAATTATTACGGAGTACATGTTTATCTAATTGATTATGAGGTGGTGAGGAAATGTGAATGGTACTGCACTCTACGGAGTACATGGACAACCTCCTTTTTCTTCCATCTCCATTTGATCGAGGATTTGGCTGCCCAGATAGGCGAGACTAGACGGGAGGCCAGGAAACATGGATTGGGAGGCCGGTGGATCTTAAAAATTCATTACTACTAGTTAGTTTTGTTGAGCTATAGATTAAACAGTTGTGAGGTTGTAGTGTGATATAGTAGGAGTTCCAGTTTAATATCAGCCACCACCACCACCTAAGAATCGGAGAAATACCAATAACTCCAGCAATTAACGAAATTTTTGGAGAATAGCCAACGAGGAGACATGTCTACCACATCAATGATATTCTCCACTATATATCCCATTATTTTGTAGAAAGTTGGGCAGTAAAAGAATATATATGGTAACCGACGACTCTCCTACGCTAGATATGAATAAGGTCTGATATGGCAATTTTTCAGTCCTCCTGTTTCCGTAGGCACACATACAGCTAGACAGCCGGTGGAAGATAGCAAAACTTGGAAGTTACATAATTAATAGTAAGAATACCTCCTGGACTTACAGGCAGTGAAAATGGAGCTATTCCATCAAACCCGGGGTAAGGTACGAGTCACTCTACAAAAAGGGTTGTGGCGTTTGATGCGTTTCCTTTGAAGGCTAAAAGGGCTATATTGATGAGAAATATGTAAGCAATACATGAGAAGGTATGGCAATGTAAAAGGTTTGCAAGATAGCGAGCCTTTATTAAATTCGCAATACGTAGCATACATATGATTAATGGTGATACAGGCTGAAGAAGCAGAACAGGGGGTGGGTTTGTAACCAAAATTAAAAGTAGAAGGTAGCCAACAAGCCAACACGAGGGTTAAAGAGTGAAAGAGGTCGAAAGAAAAAATCAGATATCCATGCGTGTAAACAAAATGGTAGATGAATAATGCAAACATCCAAGATAGTGAGTAGTGGGTACATAGTTATTATAGATAAAGCTCAAAAAAGAAAGAAGTTACATGAAGTTCTAGGAAACAATGGGGAAGATTGTATCAACTGAACAGGAAGTATAAAGGTATGTACTACTGCTGGGGGAAACATTCAAAAATGTATAGGGTAATTAATATGAAATAAATAAAATAACATGACAGAAATAGAAGCCCTCGAACACCAGCATTAGTTATCTATAGATGGCACAGAGGTTAGTAAATGCAGCGCTAAAGGGGGACTTATTATAGCTACTTACCAATTTAGTCATTTCGTCATTCTTCATTGCACCCCGGTAAATCTACTAGCGAGCTCCGAGCTTCTCAGACTCTCTAGCTTCGATCAACCGTCGACTCTCCTTCCGTTGTCTTGTGGACCGTCTGGTTGGTTGCAGGACTGGCTGTGCTGCAACCATCCCAACCGATTTACGTATGGTGACCTTATTCCGAGACTTAGGAGAGGACGTTGAAATCTTCGGAGAAGAATCCGTCATTCTCACGTCGTTAGTCGGCCCATCCAGAGGGGAACTGCTCCCGCCATTTCCAGGAGAATAAGAGGCAGGATATTTCATCATATTCCCAGAGGAATCACTATCCGGAGGGGTGTTCTCCAGAGGATGGATGGCCATGTTGCGCATCCCCAGATTAATACTTGCTGCTGAAGCGGTCCCGGGAGAGTTTGGCGGGGTTCTGCAGAAACGTTCCTCTGCAAAGAGGGGGTTTACGTCTTCCAGAGTAGAGTCTGAGGAGCTTTCAGAACCCTCAGGAGTACCCATCACGGGAGACATTCCAGGATTGACAGTGGGTGCAGGTGGAGTGGCTCCTTGGGACACTAAGGGGTAGCCATACTGCTGGCCAAGTTCAATTTCTGCCGCTCTCATCTGCCCAGGGCTACAGCCCGAGAGCTTCAGAAGGCCCAAAACCGCATCGCACTCCTCCGCGGTCAAGTGATCTCCGCGTGGATTGATCAAAGTGCTGGCCGAAGACGGACGCTGAGTAGGCTCAAATGCAGGTCCTGACATATTGGGCTAGAAAAGATCCTGCTTTTGTTATGCACATTAATATCTATCTACATTCTGGAGGAGGCATATAGGCCCCAGAACGATGGAAACAGCAACGTTGAAGCCGCTGTAAGCAGAGAACAGAGATAACAGTGAAGTTGAACTAAGAAAGGTCGAAAGGGGGCTACTTACGGCTATTTGGTTTCACTTGGCACGGGTTTAGTTGGGATATGTATGGATATATGTAAATCTAAAATGGCAGAACGTCTGGTATATAAGACAAAAATGTTGATAGTGAGAATATAAAGGGTCTTGACTATCGGGAACGAAGAATAATATACTTGTTGGAAATAGGGAAGGGTATCTTCTGAATGTATCGAGGCAGGACAAGTCGTGATGAGAAAGAGAAAAGAAGGGAAGGAGCTGTTATACGGGCGAAAGATGTGCCACCAGTATCCAACCCTTTTGCCCTTTCAGTGGTAACTCAGCATGCTAGAAAGCAATGTACAAGTCGAAATGACGCAAATTTTAAAAAATTCCTTCTAATAAGCCTGAGCCGTTGCATTTGAGCCGTTGTAGAACTTCCCCTGAAATAGAGTTTGGAAGCAGAACGGTGCGGAATAACAGCTCGAACGCTACAAGAACGCTTTGCCCGTTCAGTCTCTTACAGTCCTTGAGTTCATCAACATCCAATAGTGAACATAGTTTAAAAAACATATTCATAAAGGGAGAGTAAGGACAGGAGAGGAAAGCGCAGCCCTTCTGGCATATAGAGCAGCATTGCAGGGCAGCTGTGATTGGCCAGCTTGATGTAGAGAGAAAGGTAAATCGGCGCGCAGAGTTGGAGTTGTAAACTTAGAACGTGTTGTTGAGTGGCGTCGACGTTAATTTTGGCGTTATTTTGGTGAAGGGTTGTCCGGCACATGATTTTACCTTCTGTATGATAGCGCAAAAGGAATGGCGAAAATCTTACCATATCTGGACGACGAAGTAAAATCAAGATATCATTCATATGGACATAGAGGGTATACATTTGTAATTAAGAAATGCCTTGGGAGTTGCTAGCTGGGTGTTGAAGAGAGAACTATAAAAGTCAACAAAAGAGGATAGAAAGTAACGCGAGACATGAAAGTAAATAGTGTTCTTTGATTTAATTGAGGGTCTTGAATGTGCTATCATTTATGCCCGTGAGCTTGAGATTATAGCCTACTAGAAAATATATGTGTAGGCTGTCGCGACATGGGAATGCTCAAGGTAACCTTGGAAGGCCCACACAACATCGCCTGCCTGGCTACGCCTTCTCAAGGTTCTGACCAAGCCAACTGTTCGGTGACTGCAGGCGCCCCGTTCTTGGAGTAAGTAACCCTGAGGCGGAGTCGAAGTTTCCCTTGTAGAGGCTACAGTTATTTCGGAAAACGATATTTTTTGGTTAGCCATCAATTAGAAATTAGAGAAACAAAGCGTATGAAAGAAACAGTGGTTACAGGAAAGAGAGAGAGGAAAAAAAAGAAGGGAAAGCATACCCCATTAATAGCAGAGACTCTCATTCCTTGAGTCCCCTCCTGCCCTCCTTCCAGGTCAGCCTTGTTGATGGCATTAAGTTGAAGTTTTTGAGATTTGGGTACAGCCACTTGCAATCCAACCCCGGAAAAGCGATCGAAAGTAGACGTATTACGGAATCGAGCCAATATCTGGGCACCAGCATTACTCCGCTGAATTTGCAGAGTCAACAGAAGATCATTCTTCTCAAATACGGTTAGGGCGGGGGGAGCGGAGCTTGGAGAAGGTGTCTGGACAGGAGGAGAATGGAGCTCTCCGAGAAGTCCCATCGGCGATGTGGAAGGTTGTGGTGCTTGAGGTGCCGGGGATGTGCCGTTCGAACCAAAAAGATCCATGATGCTGTGTATATCAGATGACCTAGTGGGCGTAGGTTGGAATGGACTCGATGAGGCAGCGGGAATAGATTCGCCGCCCAAGATATCGGCCAACAGGTCAGCTGTGTTCTGCGACCCATTGGTATTGGCAGTGATATTGGCAGATGTATCGTCGCCACCCATAAGGTCGAGCAGCAAATCCTGTTCTGATGGTTTGGCAGGCTTTTTAGACTTGTCTCTAAGCAGTCTACTTTGTCGTTTGCTAGTTGCTTCTCCTAAGACCCTCTGCTCTTCGCGGATTTCAGGTGGGGGCATCTTCTCTAACACGCCACGCCTTATTTGATCGTACCCAAACAAGTTGGTGTATTCCACAGCCCGTTGCTGGATTTCAACGCTCAAATCTGCAGATCTGCTGCTGAGGAGACGTCGAATACGCTCGATCTGCGCAGGTTCGGTGAGCCTTGTGGACAACTTCATTGCAGATGTTATAATATATTCGGTCACGGTTTGGGTAGCATAGGTGCTATTAAGTATATTGGTAAAAAGGTCCACTATGTCGCTTTCCTTGACTTCCTTGACTAGCTCTTCCTCCTCGTACTGGCCGCCACGGAGAAGAGCATCACCATACTCGCCTATGACCCATGAAGCAGCTAGAGTTAAGGCTTCTTGCGAGATATCTTCCTTTAAACTAGCATAAAGCTTTTGAACGGAATAGGTTTGGAGTTCGGGGGTTGTGGCAATCAGGCGGACGAACGAGGACAAAATCTGCTCCTTGACATAATTACCCGCAAGTTTCAGGACACGAAGCATAGTGTCAACATGCCATCTTTTATTGGGGGAAAATCGATCCGCAGCTATTCCTATCTGAGTTGTCATGACGGGCTTGAACTCGTTATCAGCAACCTCAAGGAAAGCCAGGAGCTCTCTGACAAGAACTCTGACATTGCCTTCGTTGATTAGCGTAAAGCTAAGATCTAGAGCACGTCTGCGTATACTAATATCGGCATCCCGCAAGCATTCTAGAATGGTGTTCCGGTGTCTTTGGACGGCATTTGGCTCAACAGCCACCACCTTAATGAGAGTGTTGAGTGCCACATATCGAATGTTGTTGTCTTTGTTAGCTAAAAATTTGCCAAGAATGTTGACACCTAGCACCCGAAGACCGGAGTCTGCTTCGATATCCAGAATAGTCAGGACAGCCTCATAGAGTATGGAATTTCCCACATTTTTGGACGACTCGGTGTTGGTAGCGACTTGGGCAAGGATGTCGTTGATTAATTCGCTTGTGGCCGCATCACCCCTGCCGAGGACTCTCAGGAACCGAAGTATCTTTACCTGCAGGAATGGGTCGGTAATTCCTGAGACGTCATGCTCCGGTGCATACCCAGAGGTCGTAAGGCCTTTCAAAACTCTAACGAGCGCAGGTACCAGAGGGCGATATTTTTCAATAACTTCATGCCCACCTTCTGCATCGTCCTCTTCACAGAACTCGGTTGCGAGGGTGAGGCCACAAAGTAAGACTCCATGGTTTCGATCCGACAGAAGCGCCTTGGATTTATCTATAAAATGTTCCTGGAGATCGGGGACTTTCCGACATATACGCATAGCACAAAGGGCGGCTTTTCTGCGGATATAGGGGTTTGCTGTGGATATGAGAGACTCTACTTCGGGAAACAAGTCCCTCGACATTTCGACAGAGGCGATATTTCCCAGGGTGCAGAGGGCCAGGCCCACAACATATTGGTTCGAGTTGTTCAAATCACTATGCATCATAATAAGCAAATGTTATTTTTCTTCCTAACGGGGGGAAGGGGGGGAACTTGATAGCACGAGACCGACTTTTTTAGGGAATTAGTCACCAATGTCAGCACCTCCTGGTTCTCATCGAGGAGTAGCATAGTTCCCAGATACCCCAACCGTTTGTCTGCGAAACGGGGCGATGCCAGCAGCTTGAGGCATTCTATCTGACCGAAGTGCGTTCGTTCACCCAACGTGAAAAGATAGAGTAGCTTAGCCACATTATTTCTCCTGCAAATCTACCATGTGAGAATGTCATCTTCCGAGATCTGTCTTGAATTTCCACCCCACACACCTTATATTTGAATCCGCACTTTCTTCCCTGAAGCTGGCTCGAATCGCCGCACTCTCCTTTTGGATCACTGATCGCTCATCCGCAATGGTTTTGGACGCTCGCACATTCCGAATGAATTGCTTGACTATGATCGATATGAGTAAGTGGTCCCGACATAGTGGAGATGGAGATGAGGGGCTTGGACATACGGGAACTCATGGTGGTCGCAAGGACCCCAAAAAGGGGAACGTCGAAATGTAACTGGTCGCCAGGAGTACCAGGGCTTTATACGGCGGAAGTAACTTGTGATGCCGTTCCCTGACTTCGAAAGACCGTTTGTTGGCTTATATGGATCGTTATTTTTTGTGTCTTCCCATATCAACCTTCATTTCTGGCACCATGAGCTGTCTGGTCAGCGCGGCTTACATATCTGGCCAAGTGGGTGAACAAGGGACGCTAACTGTATACGGTCTAGCGGACTGCTTTGTTTGAACCTCCAATATCAGAGCTTGGCATTGAGACTTCAGAATAATGGATCGTATCTTGGGCTTCGTTTCTTCATTACTAGTACACTTTCAAAAGCCTCGAGACCATAGGAGTTCTTTTCTCCGGATGAATAACCAATAGTATGCCCCTCCCACACGGGGTAGGTACTTCGGTAGTCACCATATATTTTATTTAGCGCCTTTGACAACTTCCTCGATATATTATTGCCCATTCATCCTTATGGCCGTGCAGAATGCTTGCACTGCTACGGAGATATTTAAGCTCTGCGTCGATGGTCTCCAATGGTTAGACCTTCAGCGTCAGAAGTCTATTTATAGATGGCGGTCCTTGGTCCGCGGGAATTATGCATGTGGTGACAGTTATATTTAATGTTGAAATTGTTCTGTAAGGTCGAGCGGAGTTAAAATTGGTCAATACCAGTTAAAATCTGACAGATAGAGACGCAACCATTTGAATACCTGGGGGGAGTTCAATCATTTCACATAACGTAAATCCGTCATCCTCCGCATGAAAGAGCTTTTTTTCATCGAGGAGAGCTTCTTCCAAGGGATCCGAACCTAGATCCGGGGTGGCTGACATTAATAAAGTATAGTAATTCTACTCCGTGTTATTGAGCTTTCCGAGCTCTCCTCGTCGCTGTTTTAACTTGTGCAGGCAAGTTAATGCCCAGCCTCACGCCGTTGGGTCAAAACCCTGGCACTAAAGCAGCATGCAAGCGCGCTGACATCACCGGGAAGGTTCGCCTCGAGCGCCGAGAGCGGACATGTTTTTCTTTTCTTCATCACCAGCATTGAGCTGGCGTTTTCCTTCGCCATCGCTGTATATATATTATCTTATCCTACTATGATTATCCTACTGTGTCCACCATTATTATCTTTAATTGAGACTTAGGTCATTGTCCCCGATAGACCATTCTCACCATGTCCTCTGTGCATGTAAATGGGAGTACCGGAACAGGCATCCTACGACCACGCGCAGTGCGGCCAAAACATCAGAGCGAAGACCATCATCTTACCCCCTCTGCGAGCGTAGATAGATTATCCTTCGATATATCAAGGTACAAATAAGAATAAAAGCTTTGCCCTTCTGAATAATCCTCCCCGGTATTTTGTATTTCTTGTCGTTTGAACAAAAGCTAACCCCTCCTGAAAGTGGCCGGTCCACCCCTATTCCGGAAGATGCTCCCCCATCCGTACAATCAATATCATGCGCAAGGAAGCAGATACGAGCCCAGGCAAGTCAAAGGTTGTTCTACTCAATCGATTACAAACCTAGGGTATCTCATTTCGACCCTGATAGCGATTATCGAGATTTCCACGGCTTCTTCTCCCTTTTTTGGGTTAGCTTGTTTATCATGGTCATGACCACGGTTGTGCGAAATATAAAAGACACTGGCTACCCATTACGGGTACAAGTGTGGTCACTGCTGTCAGCGAACGTTTGGCAACTGGCCCTGTGTGATATTGTTATGGTTTCGAGTACCGCACTATCTCTTCCGCTCCATTTAGTAATCAGGCAAAGTCAAGGTTGGCTAAGATGGCTAAACGGAGGAATGATATTGCAAAGTTGCTTTCAGATCGCATGGCTCACTTTATGGGTGGCGTACGTATCTTCTAAGCTTCTTGCATAATGTTGCAGCGAGAATATTTGCTAACATATTTTTTTCTCCCAGCTTGCCATTCCAGCTTAAATGGGCTTGGACTGCTCAGGTGTTCTTTATCCTACACACATTAACTCTTTTGATGAAAATGCATTCCTACGCCTTCTACAACGGACATTTGAGCGAGACAGAACATCGCTTAAACGGTTTGGATAAGCCGGAGGCCAGTTCACTCTCTGCAGCTGTTCGTTATCCACGGTCCGAGAGTCAAACAATGGAAGAGAGTACGGAATCAGATAACGCAAAGGAGGATGAATCCCAGCAATCGCTTTCTAAACTCCGCTCAGATCTTGCAATGGAATTAACTTCTCCTCTCGGTCAAGTCTCATACCCCCAGAACCTGACCGTGTACAATTATGTGGATTATCTTCTCTGTCCAACGCTGTGCTACGAACTAGAATATCCACGTACGAAAGAAATACGATGGATGGAGGTTTTCTTTAAAACATTGGCTGTTTTTGGCTGTATATTCTTACTTACCCATGTTAGCGAAGAGTTCATCGTTCCAGTTCTAGACGAATCTGCGGAAAGAATGCAAGTCCTGAGCAGCAAATCTGAGAAGGCTCTGGTCCTTGCAGAAGCTATTAGCTTCCTGCTACTGCCTTTCATGATAACGTTTTTGTTGGTGTTTCTTGTCATTTTCGAATATACCCTCAATGCCTTTGCGGAAATTACACGTTTTGCCGACCGCGAATTTTACGCTGACTGGTGGAACTCTTGCGATTGGTATGAACGTATCCTATTCATCTATTGCGGACCATCGTGGTTTCTAATATGCTAACCTGCTCTGTTCGACAGGCTGGAGTTCTCTAGGGAGTGGAATATCCCGGTCCACCATTTCCTTCGGCGCCACGTTTATTTCTCATCTTTAACTCACTTTTCCAACTCCAAGGCCATGTTCATCACATTCTTGGTGAGCTCCATTGGACATGAATTGGTAATGGCGTGTATCACCAAGAAAATTAGGGGGTATGGCTTCCTTGCCATGATGATGCAGCTGCCCATCGTTGCCGTGCAGCGTTCGAAGTTTGTTAGGGGACGAAAAGTTCTTAATGTTAGTGATTTATTCCACCATTTCCGTAATAAATAAAAGGGAATCGCTATACAGTCTAGCTGCTAACTGTTCAAACACCATTTAGAACGTTTGTTTTTGGGTTTCCATGATTATCGGGCTCTCCCTTGTACGTTGGCTCCCAGATCGAACTTGTATAGTTGGATGGATGGATGTGCTGACAGCTATATTAGATGTGCGCACTTTACGTCCTCGTCTAGATACCCTCCAAAGTACCATCTTATTTTACGCCTAACGACCTAGGAAACCGCCATGATTGTATTATTCCGCTTGAAGTCACCATAGATGCCGGCTCACAAGCACTGTACATGTATAGCCAAGCCCGAAAAGCAAATTGGAATTTTTATTTTTATTTTTATTTTAGAAAGGGGGTAAAAAACAGAAAGGAAAAAAGCTTATATCCTACGCTCTTCTTCCTCCCAAATCCAAATCCACTCCTATACCAACCTGTCAAGTACTGTAAATATTCTCTTATTCTTACATTTTACTCCGTATATACCGTTTTCCACTGACGATCTCTCGAATCGTATCCTTGTACCAGATGACGGTTTTCCGCTCAGGTGTAATCATGAGTCTGAGAATCTCTAATTACCCGAGGGTAGCGCTGATAAACTGCCCCCACTTGGTCGAGACTGAGCCCGAAAGCAGTCGAAGCCCGAAACATATTTAACCCCTCACTTTAAGCAGCTAGGAGCGTATGATGATTCGAAACAGGGTTCTTCTACGAGAAGATTAGAGCAGCAATTGACCAGTTGTAAGGTTCTCTTTTTTTCTTTTCTAAACAATGTGGCTTCGGATGTAAAGAAAAGTAATAACGCATCACATATACATACATTGATTATTATTGCAACATACATGTACGTACCTCACTCGTTTGTATTATTATTAGTAATACGCTAGAATTTTTTCTCCTGCCCAATAAAATAAATGCATGGATCAAACATCACGTTGTGTCAATGTGTGCTGGCGATCTACATACATAGTAAGTTCAGTAAAAGCTACCATTTCTGGAGGGAGCTACGTACGCCGGACAGAAGCACTGGCTGCCCGCCCTTCTTTCTCCAGGGTCTGCTAATTAGTAAGTTAGCAAGTCAACTACCGCGGGCCGAACACCTGCCAAGCACGGGCCGCATGGCGGGGTTGGAGTTGGTGTTGGGGGTCCCGCGGTTGATCGGCCCTTCTACCAGCAGTGCGCTGGTGGTGATTGAGCTCTTTTGCCCCAGTAGCCTACAGTTGGACCCAACCGCTCTTGTGCCCGCCACTAGGTACTACCTAGGTAACGTGACTCACCACCCAACGAACGGGGCTATTTGGGCCGGATTGGAGGTAGCGTGGAGCACTTCAGTATTTCTAGCCCCCGTCGCTGTTGCCCCCGTTTAATCACCAGCACCGCACCTCCTCTTGACAATAACATAAACCACTCTCAACCCCTCTTTTTGCAGTCGAGATGACGACTCCTTCGACTATACAACAGCAATCACAGGGGTCTGCAGTGCTAAGACTTCAAGGCCGTAAGCCATTCTCCTTTCGTGACCAGCCCCCCTTTGACTAACCATTTGTTGATAGGAAAGCGGCCTCAACGTGTGCGAAAGGCACGACCACGAGGAGTTCCCCGCCGGAGTGCACGCCTAAAAGAGATATATCATCATCGGGGGAAAGCTGTATCGGACAGCAGAACCGCTGTCCAGGGCCCCCTTTGCACAAATTCCAAGAAACAGGTATGTTCTATTTATTTATCCTGCTCCACTTATAAAACTAACTTCAAAGGCCAAGTTTCTACAAAAGCCGTCCGACCCTCTTCAACCTGACTCTCAAAAACGGAAGCGACCACAAGAAGCTGAGGACTCACCCTGCCTTCCAGCCGAATCTTTCCAAAAGCGGCCGCGAACATCTCTTTCATGCCCCGCTGATGCGAGGTTGCCCATTGAGGATACTCCCGCTCAGGAGGCTACAGAATACAAAGATAAGATTAACTTAATCAACTGCTGGAGGAAGGAAGGTGCCTGGCCGAGAGAATACTTTGAACAGGGGCATGACATGAGTCAACTACTTGCGAGAAAGAAATCGACATCTTCACTTCATCACAAACAATTGAAATCTACTCTCACCAGCTCTACTACCCCTAGCAATCAGAAGCCAAGGGAGGAAAAAAGCTCTCAATACAAGAACCCACGCTATGAAGTCCTGCTAGAAACTAAAGGCAGCTATATGAGTGAATCAAAGCAGGGTATCACAGAAGTCAGCAAAAGTTGTTACCAAACTTTGCTCAATGCTGCACAAAAGATTCCTGAAAACTCATTGTTCCGTGATGATCTGTTCAAAGCAACCTGTGAGAAGGTGCGACGCCGAAATGAGGCCATCATTATTCAAGATATCACTCGATTGATTGTCCCCTCCGCGGAAAATCTAGCTATATATGGTGCAACACATCTCGATCATCTGGTCGAAAGTGTCAATGAAGGCTGGGATAATTCAATCCCTGTTACCAAAACTCGACCGCAGCCTGATTATTCCGTGGGATTTAAACGAGATGCTTTCACAGATGACCAGCTGCGGAGGCTTCGGGATTTTGTTGGTGAGCTGACTGACACATCATACTTTATGGCGACATACTACCTATACTTCCCATTCTTAACATGTGAAGTTGAGTGTGGTGCAGCGTCACTTGACATCGCAGATCAACAGAATGCCCACAGCGCCACTATTGCAGTGAGAGCTACTGTTGAGTTATTCAAGCTCGTGAAGCGTGAAAAGGAGGTCGACCGGGAGATACTCGCCTTCTCAATCTCGCATGACCACACAGCGGTGAGGATCTATGGTCACTATGCTGTTCTTGAAGGAGAGAAGACGAATTTTTACCGCCACCCAATTCACAAGTTCGATTTCACTGCTCTGGATGGCAAAGAGAAATGGACAGCATACAAGTTCACAAGGAATGTTTATGATATATGGATGCCAACTCATTTTAAAAGAATATGCTCAGCGATTGACCATATCCCCTCTGATTTGGATTTTGAGATCTCACAGTCAGAACTTCAATACTCCGAACAATCCAACGCCGAGTCAGTGCTCACAATCAATGATGATGACAGCCAACCAAGTCAGCTGGGCTATATTGACTCCACAGATGTTACACCAACCACTTCTTTCACTGAACAAACTCAAGTATTCAAAAAGCCAAGGAAGTAGATTTTGTAAGCCCCTGGTATGCTAGCGGGACTAGATATATGCATCCGCACACTTCGGTTGGGGATCACTGCTCAAAGAGAACACCCGTGTCAAAGGAAGCCCTCCAAGGAGCATTAGGAGGTAGGAATGTAAGACCCTCGCTGATATCCAGTGTGTACACTAGTGAAACTGAATATCTATAAATGATTCCTTTCTTTCCCCAGCTTAGTGTAGTTTCATAGTTGGTATTCAATAGAATGAGCACTTCTACAGATATTGCAATCAAATCTTGAGAGTAATTATATCTAGTGTATTTATACAAAATATATTAGAATATTAGTGAGTTGAGTCATCTTGATTTCTTCTTTATGTATTTCTCTAGGGCCGGCAAAACTGCTTTGGCCCTGTAAGATACTTGTGAAGTTTTATAAGCACAATGTGGATAGGAATCTGGATAAGAGCCAAGGCATCTTAGTTCCTAGTTCAGCTTATAGTGAAGCATGATAATTTGTCTAAGTGCCCTTCATCAGACTCACTCAGCACTTTCATGAAATCAACTTCTCATGTCACTCTTCTCCAAATTTAGCCTTGCATATCCTTGCAATCCGCCTCATCACTTTATCACTTACATCCTTTCAGAGGCCATCAATGTGAACAGAATCCAATGGTATGATATCCAGCACGTGTCCTGCCCAAACACCTTTGCAACAAGTTCCCTCTTGAAGGTCAAAGCAGTATCCTGGGCAGTGGACATCATAGAGTTGTGTAGAAAGTCTGAGCAATGATCACCCCACCAAATCTCAATACATCAATGAATGGACCTCGAATATATTCCAGCTTCAGTGTGATGACTACCACAGTGACAAACTGATGAATCATTAAATTGGGCAGGACCCACTGCCTATCAGTGAGATAGAAAGATGCTGGTACAGAATCAGTCATCTTGAGCAGATTCACTAAGGAATGGCATTTCTAAACTAATTCAAGAGCATGCCTCAATAAAACATCTGAGAAACTCAAATGTAACTCAGGCTTCAGCAAGTCATTTTGTTTCTTCACACTTTCATCCTCTCTTTCTTTCCTTTCTCTCTGATCATCATACCAACAAGAATTTTTTGCTGACCTACCAGATCTGCAGACAAAGCTCCGTCCTCTGTTCAGAATCAAGTCACTGACCACGAATCCAATGTGGTACGGTACTATCTAGACACGGTCATCTAGTTCGATCTGGAAGCCGCGGCCATGGAGCTCCCATCCAATGAAGTGGTTCAGAAGCAGCCCATGGGTTGTTCTTGAACACTGACGCGACCGCCCCCACGGAACTTACCAATGAGCTGAAAAGAAAGATCACTGATAACTCAAAGATCAAAGAACTAACTGAGCAAAGTAAAGAGCTGACTCAGAGGCTCAGGGCAATGGGATTCTGTTCTGTGCCAGCAGCGCGGGGCAAAACTCCACTTTACAAGGAGAAGATGAAGACAGTTTCCCGGTTGAACCGCGGCAAAGTTCACCTTCACTCCAAGCTTAAAGACTGGCAGAGGAGGTGGTACTTCCAGCATGCTGATACGGAGCGATTTAACCACTGACTCTGCAATGGCACGGCCGGCGAGTCTCTGGATGAGTGTCCGGCCCTGCCACCCCTTCAGATCCTGGAACAGAGACAGATTGTCAAACTGACATGCGCTGGCACTCAGCAACTGACAGAGCATGAGCAGTTCGCGCGTCGGTGTGTGTGCATCATTGCCTGGTTCAAGCTACAGCGTCGGAAGGAGGTTCAGCATCGGGGTCATCACAAGAAACAGCAGCCGCCGCGGCGAGATGTCAAGCCTGACCCACCCCCGGACACCATGCGGGCGAAGTAATCCATTCCGGATGAAAAGCAGTGCCCATTCTGTGTCGCTGATACCTCGTTGCCTTGGGGGGACCGGATGAATGTCCGGGAGCGCACGAACAAGTTCTGGAACCATATCGAGAGCGTCCACCGCGAGGAGCTGAAGGCGTACTCCTCCGGACAACACTCCTCAATGACCGCAAAATTGGAGATTTGGAGGTGCTACTCGTACAAGAACCCCCCTCTCACCCGATATATGGGCCCCTCAGGAGGGCCATGGCAGGTGCAACCTGCAATGGAAACAGACGTTACTACCCACTAGAGGACACGATGAGAATGTTCCACAGAGAGGAGCTGGAACCAATAGAGACAATCGACGCATGCCCCCCGGAACCATGGCAGAAGCCAGTACTCAAAGGCATCTACCTCGACTCCGACAGGGCTAGAGCCATCGAGAGAGCTATCCTCATAGACAGATATATTAATATATACACTTGTATGCCAGTTTGAGGTTTCAACTCCAAGGGCGGCTGGGACAGTCTGTGACTAAACCAATCAATCAATCAATCAATCAATCAATCAACGTAACAGCCGGCATACGTTGGAAAGTGTAGTCCTACCACAGAAGTAGTCCGAGCACAGAAGTAAAGTGGTCCCAGCACAGAAGTAGTCCTAGCCTAGAAGTTGTTTGTCCTGAGAATTTTTCTAAATTTATAGACCTAGAATGATATGTGCTGAGTTCTTACATGCTTTAAGATTTGTGAGAATAAACAGAATCGCGCTGGCATTATTCTCAGCAGGTCTTTCATAGTGAACCGACTGGCACTGCTTCTTAGTGGCTAAAGCTTAGGTTGCCATTTGAGCTCTTGATTTCTATTAACTAGTTACTAACTATAACTATCTAATTAGTTGCCGGCAAAGGAAGCTGACCCAGAACTAGGATGGAGAGACGACGAGCGTTGGCGTGCGGCCCAACAGCAATCCTGCGCCAGATGAGGGGAAGGACAGGGCATCAGGTATAAATTTGAGCTCAACTGTTGGTCCCTTGTCTTTCCGGATCCCTCGGCTTTTTAATGTGTTCAGTGTTCCACATAATACTGATTTTATAGACATGCATCAATTACACTAGTTTTAATGTAGTTAGTATATTACTACATTGATTTAGTTAGTCTTGGCTTTCGGACTATGAGTTTCAACCCCCACAGATCAACATACACAGTAACTACAGAAGCCCCTCCCGCCCTGGGTATACGCTAAAGAGGCCCCTATAGAGTCCCCGGTATAGAGCGGCGCCGGGTATAGAGACTCCTGGGCACATACAGACCCCTGGATATAGATCCCCGTGAAGACTAGCCTAAGAATAGAGATCCCAGGTTGAGAGCCCTCCACTGATGTGGGTCATTCTTTCATACAACCTCCAATGAGGAGATCTTGATTGTATTAGCATTAATGTGTGCTCATTGTAACACTAGTATAAAATGCCCATTTGACGCCGTACTTAGTTGCTAAGTTCTTGGTATTGAGATGAAAATATCTTTATATTTATTTCTATATACAGAGAAAGAACATGAATTAACAGCCCCTAAAGAGCCCCTAAAGAGCCATCAATCCCAACCTGACAATGGGCAAAGATCTCACACCCGAGAGTGTCACCTCCATCCGCCAGACACTTGAAAATGCCTGTGCGGATCAAGAGCGCGGAATCCCGGGGGTGACCTTCGTCGTAGCCGACAGAGAAGGCAAGCAGCTCTTTGCCCATGCCGCAGGCAAACGCGGCAAGGGGGTCGACGAGCCCATGACCCTGGACTCTGTCTATTGGATCGCTTCGTTCACGAAGATGATTACTGGAATTGCTTGCATGCAGCTGGTTGAGCAGGGGAAACTTTCTCTCTATGATGCTGGGCAGATTGAAAGCCTGTGCCCGGAATTGAAGGAGTTGAAAGTCTTGCAGAAGGATGGGACGGTGGTGGAGAAGAAGAGAGGGATTTCGTTGAGGATGTTGTTGACGCACACTGGTATTTTTCTTTCCCCCCCGCCCAAGCTTATTTCACCTCATCCCGGTTCTAGAGTGTTTTGCATTTCTAGAAGATGTGTAAGATGATGGGGCTGATTTGGGTAAACAACTATAGCGGGATTTGGATATTCCTTTTTCAATGAACAGGTTCGAGACTACAACCGGCCTATTGGCTTCGATGAATTCTCAGGTCACGTATACGATGTTACGCAGCCGTTGATCTTCCAACCTGGCGAGGGGTTTGAGTATGGTGTACGTACTTTACCTAATTATCGAGAAGCGCCGAAACAAAGAAATTAGTAGAATATCTCCATAAGCTGACACATTAGCCCAACTCATAGGTTGGCATTGACTGGGCAGGAATCGCTGTCGAGCGGGTTACCGGCCTCTTGCTCAATGACTACTTCCATAAGTATATTTTCGAGCCTCTCGGGCTAAAGAATATCAGCATGCTCCCTTCAGCTGAGATGAAGGCGAGGCTGGCATATATGCATTCCCGGAACCCAGATGGCACCTTATCACAGAGGGATCATTTGTTAAGGTGGCCCCTACTGGCCAAGAACAAGGAGGAGACCAAAGGCATGCTGAATTCCGGCGGAGCGGGTTGTTTCTCCACCTCGCAAGATTATTTGGGTGAGTTAATTGATAAGTTTCTTTGTCACTGGTTCTTGTGTTGCCTTGCCGAGGTGTGAATTTGTATGCATACGCAAACACCCAGCGCGTGAAGCTAATGCCTCCCGCACCTACCACCCTGATCCAGACATCCTCACCACCTTGCTAAACGACGGCACATCGCCCAAAACGGGCAAACAAATCCTCACCAAATCCACCGTCGACCTTATGTTCCAAAACCATATCCCCCACATGCCCAACTTTGGCAGGCAAGGTAACCTGCTGAACAAGAAACCCGACCTCGTCAACAATGTGCCGGACATCTACCCCCTGAACAACAATGAACCGCAGGGCTGGGGCTTGTCGTTCATGATCACGAGCAGTTTGACCGGTAGGAGCGTGAAGAGCGCAATGTGGGCGGGTATTGCGAACTTGTTCTGGTGGTGTGATCGGGAGCATGGTATTGCTGGTGTGATTTGTACGCAGATTTTGCCATTTGCGGATGCCAAGTTAGTTCCGTTATGGTTTGATGTTGAGAAGAAAGTTTATGATGGGCTGAAGTAAACAAGGGGGCAATATGATGTCAGATTGAAGACGTGTAGATCGAACCATGTGGAAATGTTGAATTGTTGTAGATATGGAGTATATAGCTGTGATGAATGAAAGAATGGTAAATTGTGATAACATATGGAGAAACGCCTGCGCATGGGTTGGAAAGACCCGATATAACATGCTTCTACGCCGTCAACGTAACAACAGAAATAATGCTCATATTCAAAGAAAGTCGACCTCAAGAACGTCAGCTGAGAACCCAAATTTGAACCGCAAGCGAAATAAGATTCAAGACAAACAACACGAATATTCAAAATCGTCTATACCCGTTAACTATTACCGCAAGAAAAGTCTCAATGACATTGCTCGTGTGAAAACTATACCCATCTACATATGTTCGATTGGCTCTTCAGGAAATAGCTCTTCCCTTCGTCGGTCCGTTGGTAGGCATGCTCTCAGAGGAGGGTTTACGATATCATTGAAAAGGAAAGTGCCGTAAACAAGCATAGCGAAGCCAACTACCTGGAGCCATTTGAATGACTCCCAGCCAAGGCCAAGAGATATGATCCAGATGAAGAGGGTGCGGCATGTGTCGATGGTGCTGCGAGACGTGGCAGACACTGATCGTGTGACGCTGAGGCCGAAAAAGTTGAAGCCGCTGAGCGAATGTTAGTTATGGTCTCCAGAATGATAGGGGAAGTCAAAGGCAGGAGCAAAAGTATATGACAGGGTTTACATACCCGATACTGATCATGATTAGTAAACTCGATACCGCAATAGCCCTGTTGGTAGTCATGTTGTGCCACCCTTCTCTGACATCAAAATATCCGCCCTTCCCACTTTCGGTACTGCCGATAGCGAGATGGAGGATTATCATCCCGACAAGTGTGACTAGGAATCCAAAGATTCCTTCCCAACCAACAACCTTTATAGGGTCCATGGCATAATTCTCAAGAATCCACTCTTCCAAAACGAATTGGCTGGCTGTGAAAACTTGCGCTCCCGCAATCAATAGCACCCCAATAACAGTCTTGACAGCTACTGGAGTGTCAATAACAAAATCCTCATCCTCTACTGCCCTTGAAAAGAGTTGAACCATAGTTTGGTGCGCTCCGTCCAACGCTTGATGCTTATCCTTAAAGATGGCACCGGCAAGCCCGACAAGTCCAACGCCAAGGACAACAACGAACAAAGCTAGCCATTGGTATAGATATAATTTCCGGCGAAGGAAAATCACACTGAAGAGACCGACAAAGAGCACGAGTGCACCTCGGGTCATCTGATATATGCTTGCAACGACGAATAACAATCCGACATTCATAAGTGTGGTGCCCGTGATATCACAGCATGCTGGTGCAGCCAGCAAGAACACCTTCCAATCTTTCAGTTTTATTCTGCCATCATGGTCCCTAGAAGAGATCTTGGTAGCGGAAGCCCGAGGGCTGCCATTTAAGGGGGAGGTAGAGTTCAATTCATCATCAGATTCGGTATCCTCTTCACCGTCAACTGGTTCGTAGCCACCGGCAAGAAGGGATGTTTCAGTAGAAGCACCGAATCGATGGCTGATATGCTGATTCCAGAGATTGCATCCCAACACAACCAGCCAACACCCCATTTCTCCGACAAACATTTGGAGGCTAGCACCGTCATTATTATCCGTTCACGTGAAACAAACGAGGTCTGAAAACATACGTTTGGACGACAGGCTGTTCAAACAATTCCCTCTTTTTTGGGTCGGGGGAATCGCAGTTGCGTACACATTGCATGTCCTGTTAATATGACAGCATGTCAGCGGAAGCGCTCACGAAGCGGTGGATAAGGCAAACAAAAACTAACCTGGTATTTTGTAAGGATCGTGTTACAAACACCGGTCACCAACATCATGGTGACCAGGAACGGAATGAGTGACTTGGAAGCCATTTCGATGGTAATATCCAAGCAACCAGGGTTTGGTTGGTATTGGATCTGTTGGTGTCGGGATGGCGAACGAAGCCCCGGCTGAAAGATGTTGGATTGAGAGAAGAGATAGAAAGAACCGTCGTGGAGTTAAAGCATATGCGTAGATATGTGGTTAAGAACCCATTTTGACAGGATGTTGCGTTGTTGCTGCTGCTGCAGAGAGGTCATTATCAAAAGCGGTTGTGGTCGTTTATCTTGTGACCCAGAGCGCTTATCGCGCTAACCCACCTTGTCGATCAAGCTGGCGGTTGGATTTGAGATGGGGGGCGCAAGCGAGGTAATTAGATAATACTTACAATTTTCCAAACGGCAAACTGTCCTGCTGAGAACGCTGGCTCTTATCATGGCTCCTGGCTTAAACAAAGGGCGAATAAAAGTATGCCTACGGCCTTAAATTATTATCGTACTTTGTTTCAAAAAAGGGCGTATAGCTACGTCAGCGGAGGAATATATCATTACTTCTTGACCATTTCAATCCAAGAGCATCAAAATACATTATTTGATTAAAGAAGCATTTATTTTGCCCATTTACTTGGTACGCAAAGCGCGAATAGCAAGGTAAGAAACCATTGGAATAAAGACACATCATAAGGAGTACATAACCAAAAAGCCCTCGCCAATGGGCGTTTTTAAAACACCCCAAAAACGACATCAAAAGTATGGTAAAAAGACAACGCCCGTGAAATCTAAAAGCCAGAAACACCTTGCTGTTCAAAGAAAGAAAAGCAAAATAATGGGAAAAGGCTGAACAAGGTAAGAGGGCATGAATAAAACAAAAGATGCACTCGACAGGCATGTGAAGCCCGTATATAAATAAAACAAAAATCCATTATAATGTATGCGGATGGAGGGGAAAACAATCAAAAGACACCAAAATCCCCAATCACCATGCCATATTAACCATCCTGATGGATAGTCCATGTTTTTTTGCCAACCACTTTCCCTTAAAGAATCAAAGGGAAATAATAATAGAAGAAAATACAACATATTTTTTTTAAGAGAAAAAAACAAGATCAGCCGTATATAATTATATCGAATACACAACCTGTTCAAGATTGTTCCCATTAAGGTCATACTCATTCTCTTCCAAGGCATCCCAGTTAACCTCCTCCCAGGGCTCGTTCATAAGCAAACCCCCTTCCAGTTGTCCGGGAAGATTGACCCAGTCCGACGGGATCCAGCTGTCATCACTCGAGCCGCTCATGATCACATCGGGGTCGTCATCCTTGGGGCTATCAGTGTCCTTAGGTGTGTGCGTATTCGCGCTGGTATCCGTGGACTGCGGTGTATCCTTCTCTCGGATATTCGTGAAGACATCTGAGATCAACAATTCTTCAATAGGATCCGGCCCCAGTCCGGGGAATGACCAGACCTGGTCCTCCAAATCGCTAAAAGCGGAGCGGATTGTCTCAAGCGAGATTGCACTATCGGCCCACGGGTCCTTGACGAAGACCATATCTGCGGGAGGTGATTCTTGATCGCCGCTCTTACCCGTGTCCTTTTTGGCTTCTTTGCTCTGTGATGTTTTAGCATTTGGCCCGACTGTTACCTTGCTGGCGGCGGCAGGTCCTTGTGATAGCTTTGTATTGTTCGAGCTTGGAGAAACTTTCACCCCAGCCTGGCTTGCTGAGCGACCCACGGGGGTAGCTCCGGGTGTCATATGTTCGCCCTTAATCCTAGGGGTAGAGCTTGGCTTGGCTGGTTGGCGCTGAGGCTGTGCTTCAGGGCCAGGAGCAGTTTTCCGTTTGGATTCTTCTTCTGCTACCTCTTGCGCTTTCTTTTCTTGTTGATCGATACGCAAGCCAGTGCGATAACTATCAAGGGCAAATTCAAGCGCATTTTCAACGGGTTCCTCAACTTTGTGGAGCTCACTAGTATGGGTATCCAAAGCTGCTTGAGAGGCAAAGCCTCTAATATGACGATCGCATTCCGACACAGGACATCGGAAGGAGCTTGAAACTAGCGGAGTCGGTTTATTTGTTTCAGTTGCTGGCGTCGGCTTTTGGCTCTGAGGTGTAGATGCGGATTGAGCGGGAGTTGATGAAGCGGTGGGTGTTTTGGCCGCTGGATTTTGCTTCCGTCTCTTTGTTGGTGGAATTACCAATTTATCCTTGGTCAAGCCAGGTGGCCCATATGCATGGGGAACACCTTGTGGAGATGGCGCCCCTAGAGGGAAAGGTGGTTGTAAGGTCGTCGGCGCGGGAGGGGCTGCATGGTTCTGCGCTCGTCTTGCACGTTGAAGAGCTTCTTCTTGCTGCTGCTCAAGTTGTTGAAGATTACTTGCATTCAGAGGTGGAATGGCGGGCTGTGGCTGCGCATTTGGCGGAGGCTGTGAAGCCTGGGCCGGAGCGGCATTTCTTGCGGCTGCTGCAGCTTGATTCGCTTTCGGCAGGTGGCTGATCATCGCGGCAAACCATTTTTTGATGTATGTAATGGCGGAAACTACTTGGTGCTGTGTAATTGTAAACTGGTCGACTAGTTGCCAATCCGGGCCTTTGAACTGTTTCATCAATGCAACTCTCTAAATTTAGTTTTAAATCATGGGTAAGCAGGTTGTCCTCACTAGTCAAGCATTGGATTATACATTAGTGGCTTACCATTTGCAATAGCGTTTGGAGAGTTTTCTCTTGGTTAGGTAATTTAGCGACCCAGTGGACCAGCGCCTCCATCCGCCCAAGCATATCGGTACAGTCCGTAAGTAGTTTCGACATAATCAATTTGTGATCTTTCGACATTGCAACTGGGGTATTAGTACGATCCTGCTTGACACATTCCGAATATAGTTGCCTAATATGCTCGGGAAGGCGGTTCCAAATCTCTTCGGCGGCAGCTTTCGAAATGGGTTGTCTCGGTTGTGATTGTTGCCGGCGCATACGGCCTTCCAACTGGGGCTTTTGTTGCGGGGCGACAGCAACCGCTGGTTTAGTGGTAGGCTGAACCGTAGGAACTTGTACCCCTGAGACATTAGGTTGTTGTTGATGTTGTGCGATTGGATTTTGAACTTCGGTCGCATCATCAGCGCTGGGCCGCTTGAGAGATTTCGACGGTTGTTTAGCAGCTTGAGCACGTGGAGTCTTTGTGCTAGTGGGACCTGTAGGCTTACTGCCGGGAGGCGAGATCTGGGTCTTGGTTGCCTGGGTTGCCTGAGTTGTTGGAGGCGGTGGTACAGGAACGGGAATTTGCTGGGGTAGAGGGTGCGGAAGAGGCTGGGGTTGGGATTGAGCCGACGCCTGAAGGGCCTGGTTTTGATTCATTGTCTGAGCCGCGAATGCCTGGGCCGCCGCGGCCCTATTCCGGGCTTCCATCAAATGCCTCTCTCTATTTCTTTCCAAAAGTGTTTTAATTTGATCGTTTGTAAGATTTTGTCCTTGAGGTCCCAGTCTTTGTCGAGCGGCCTGGACGTCGTTAGCATTAATAGGGCGCAGCATAGGCATGTTTGGAAGAGGGCGCTGTTGTTGTTGCCCTGGTTGGAACCCTTGCTGAGGATTGAAAGGTTGGGACTGGGCAGGAGCGAGTGGGGCTGCGCCCCCAGACGCTTGGAACTCTTGCTCTGTTTTTCGAGCTGCCTCTCGGCGTAGATTGAGCTGCACAAAGTGGAATTTTTGTAGTGCCTGGAGTTTCGGCAGAGTGGCATCTCCGAGAGCGTGAGGATTTTGTGCCGCCCAAAGTTTGAGTTGACCCCAAGTCGTGACATTTTTTGGCAAGGGCTGCGTGATATTGATATTCGAACTGATGAGGAGAGGGTGAAAGGGAGTGCGATCTATATCTTTGATTTGATCTTCTGTCAGCTCTATATTCGCGTGCTGCTGCCGTGCGAGTTGCATTTTGATTTCCTGTTGCCGTTGTTGCTGCTGCTGCTGTTGCATTATTTGGCGGGAAATATTTTGATTTTGGGGAAGCGGCGCACCCATGCCATATGTCTGAGGGGACATTGACATCGCGTTTCGCATTGCTGCCTCGTTGACCAGCTGTCCATTGCGAGTTGGCTGCTGGGTAACTTCTTGTGCAGTCTGCGGAACTGGAACACCGGGCTGGGCTCCTGGACGAGTCATTGCTTGATTACTCGCAAACATGCGTCGCTGATAGTTTTGCATAAACTGAGCTGCTTGGTCTGGGTGCATTTGTGCTAGCTGGTTGCGAAGACTGGGAGGCAGTCCCGGTGGCATACCAGGTTGCGGGCTTGGAACCACGGGTTGGTCTTGGCCCATACCCGGAGGTCTTGGGGGAGGCCGGCCCTGAGGACCACCCTGGGGCTGGGGGACCTGGCCGACACCTCCAGGTCGGTTTATCGCTGACATTGCAGGGCTCTGTTGCGGCAAAGATTGTGGAATTTGTGGATTCGCTTGCGATGACATTGCCATTTGTACCTTTGCCGCAGCTTGCGCACGAGCCTGGGCCTGGGCTTGAGCCTGAGCCTGAGCCTGAGCCTGAGCCTGAGCCTGAGCCTGAGCCTGAGCCTGAGCCTGAGCCTGAGCCTGAGCCTGAGCCTGAGCCTGAGCCTGAGCCTGAATCTGAGCTTGAGCCTGAACCTGCGCCTGGAAATGTACAGCGTGTTGCCCAGTTTCTTGTTGAGAATTATGCATGTTCTGTCGCTGCTGGTGTTGTTGCGCAAGAATCATCGGATTGATATTGCCTCTGTTAACATTTTGCTGCCCGTCCGGAAACATGCCCAGCTGCGAGTTAAAGTGTGGTTGGCTCCCGACCTGGGGCACGCTGGCTGGAACAACAAGTTGGCCCGCTTCTTGTGAGCGGACTCCATCTGCCTGTTGTCCTTGTATATGATCAACACTTCCCACATATGCGTTGTCAAGGTTTTGATGTTCGCTCACGGGAATCGTAGAATTGCCTTGAAGGCCCATGAGTGACTGAGGTATTTGTCTCTGGTGGGGATTCATCGGCTGATTGGCCATCACATTATTCCCAGCGTCGGGAACCGGGTTCTGAGAGGGCATCATTTCCTGATGATTATTTTTCTTTTTCAGGTCCCTTGCGACCTGCGCGCGGAAAAAATGTAGAACTGGATCTACTCCTGTCCGAGCCATTCGCTGTTGTTGTTCAGGGGTCAGACTTTGAAGGCTTGATCTAAGCTTCTGCATAAAATGGGGTGGAGCCTGTTGCATCATCTGCTCTGCTCTTTGACGGACATGTTCTAATTCGTGAGGTTGGAGCGTGCCCAGTTCGTCGCGAAAAGCGCCTGCATTGACTCGTTGTAGCCCGTTTTGGGGGAAGCCAGGATGTTGCATCTGTGCCTGTTGATTCGGGATGTTCATTCTCATTCCTGGTTGTTGTGGTTGCTGTTGAATCGGCATCGGAGATCCTTGCATTTGGTGCTGAACTTGACTAGGGAACATATTTGGCTGTGCAGTATTTTGTGTGGGAGCAGCTATTCCAGCATGAGGGCCACCGTGAGACATCGTCATACCACTCTGCATCATACTCGCCGCACGTTGCTGTCTACTATCTCTTATCTGTCCTAACTTGTTACTACATTCCCTTTCATACTCAGCCTGATACAAGTTAGCAATTTGTCTCGGACAGTCATGGAACGAGAATATAACTTACTCTGTCGCTTGATTGTTTAAAAGCCTTTTCCTCATAGTTTACGGCGGCCGTCAAAATCTTTTGAAGATTATTTTCAACCAGGCGCAGCGAGGATATGCTTAGCAGACGAAGAAGAACTACAAGTTAGCGTTTGTAAAATTTGGGGGGGAAGGCTCTCGACAGGAACAAGGTATCCAAATGGCAAATCTCAGACGAAGCGAATTAACTAGAACAGCAAGCGAAGGGCAAGAGATAGCTAAGTAGTAACTTACATTTGAAAGATCTTGGAGCCTCGATCTCGAATGGGCACATCTCGTTGCCAACCCTGAAATGGACCCTGTGATTGTAAGGCCGCGAAGATATGTTTTAGTAGCACCTGATGTGTAGGTTCATTTTTCTGTTGGCTCTGCATCTGGGGGAATGGCGGTTTATCTCCCATCGGCATCGGACCGCCATGATTGGTAAAGTTGGCGGGATTCATATTGCGATCGGGAACCAGAGATCACCTTTAAAAGGCTCCCCGGCAGGAGGATTTTTGGGTTAAGCATCAACCGACGTCAACGGTAAACACACAAGATTGCGAGGATGTAGGGTGTTTAACGGCGGCCAAGTTGAAGCCTGAAGACTTTCAGGGATGGAGGGCTTTCGCCTAGCCACCAATATTGAGGTCGAACGATGTACATGTACTGTTGAAGCCGAGTGGGGAAAAAAATGCAGGAAGAGCAGTTTGCGAGGGCTAAGAATCGGGCGGGAAGAGGTACAGCGTGTCCGGGAGGAGGGGGGGCGGGAGATGGAAGTCGAGGCAGTGAGCGATGACGGGGCTATGGTAGGTATCGAGAGAGGATAGGAATGCTGGATGTAAAGGACTGCCTGTCAAGCTGTAATCCGGATGCTCTGAGGAGATTCTGAGGGAGGGGAGGAGGAGGGCCAGCGGATATTGGACGAAGAACGAGGCAAACGACAGAGTTCCAGACAGGTTAAACAAGGGCTAGGCTGTTGTTACCCTGAGCGTTAGCTGGTTAGCCTTCCGCAGCCAAACGATGTGGCAGGCAAACTAGCAAATACGGCCTCACAGAGCTTCTAGGCACAACTGCGGGTCGTGTTTCGGGGCACATCAAGCACTTGGAAGAATGAAGACGAAATAGAAAAGCTTTTTGGATCCAGAGGGCCCAAAAACACAAAGCGGGATCGGGGATGATCGACGGGCGGCGGTGGTGAGGGAGTGGCCTAGAAACCCTGTCTCAGCCATAGAAACTTGACGGGTTGAAGATGGGCTTGGGGGTGGTAGGTGGTGGAAGGTTTAGTGAAGTTAGTGGTTCGCTGGGGACCTGGGGTGGAGGAGAATTCCCTGGGCACAAGTCCCTGTTAAGTTGTTACTGGCCGAGCGCGCACCGGCTCGTGCCAAGGTCGCTGCTGTCACTCAGGGTATTCCTGGGTAACCTCTGATTGGGCAGTTCTCATGGCAGGAGCACGACTCCAACAAGTACTGCGTAGCTGGACTCAAGAACCCATGCAAAAGTCACGAAACAATAATAGTTATTAAGCGATAACCTTGGAGATATTGAATAATAATATTAATAATAACATGGGCGCTTACACCGCATGGCTTTGTTCCCAACCTTTTGATGCTGAAGCTGGAAACGGGGTTGGTGACAAGAAAGAAATTACTAGCGGTAACTATGAATGCCCGATGAGAGGCTGGTTGTGCCCGTCCCGTGATCAGGTGGTCTTCCTGCCGCAAAGTGCGCCTAAAACCCCTGCTGATTATTGAAATAGGACTAGTGCAAGTAGACATTTAGCCGCGAGTTGGAAAATGTAACGCTAAACCCGATCTGGTGCTGTCCATCTTGGCTCCAGAGCTTCTGATGAATGACTAAACACTGCGTCACTAGGACCCGCAGTTACGCAACAACCGTTTATCACCAAACAGCCAACCTCTCTTCACCCAACCTAATTTGTGCTGACCTCGTCTCCGATATATAGATTCGTCAAAATACCCCTCATATCCTTCTTTCTAGCGGAGACGAGACGCCAGTTTCGACGAGACTGACTTACCATGATTCATCGATAGGGTACTCTCCCCATTCAACCCTCGTCGCCGAAAGCCATCAATGTGACCCGACGTTGCAAGCCATGTCTCCGTCAGTCGCTTCTAGTACCGCCCCTGTGGGTTCAGGGATATTCATGATCATTGCTCTCCTAGTCATATCGATTTTGGTTCTTCTTCTCCTAAGACATTATTTGCCATTGCGCTCGACTCCGGCCTTCCTATCTCTCCCCGTCTTTCTAGCTCTTGCCCTACCCGCAAGCGTGGTTTTACTTGTTCCTATTGATCTTACATCGAGCACAAAGGGGGATGAACCGAGTTCGGGGATATGGCTCCCCCCGCGCGTGATGCTTGTTTCGTGGAGGATTGCTTATTGGTTGACATTTGTGATGACTTGGTGAGTTTTGGGATAATCGTCTCATCTACTCCCTTATTCATTGCGACAACACACCACTTCAGAGTAGCTAACAGAAGCTGATCCCCTCCTCTAGGGTGATTTTGCCTTTGCTCGGCGAATACGTTGATTCCGGATATCGCACTCCGAAAGACCGTATCCTATACTCGCTGCGCTCGAATGGGCGGTATCAATTGATTGTTCTTGGATCTGGTATCGCAGGACTCGTCTACATATCTATACAGAATGGGTTTGACTTCACATCTATCAAAGCCCTCGTTATGGCTCTGGCTTATTTCTGGGGATTGGCACTTGCAATATACCTTATGGGTCATGGCTTGGTGGTGATCCCTCGCACTCTAATAAGGAATGCAAACCCTGGCAACAAACTTAGGAGGCTTCAAGCCCGCGCCCCTCGAATATACGATCGCCTAACAGATTCCATGGCTGACCTTGAAGACCTTGAATTTCAAGTATCCCAGTTACGCAAGAGGAAAACAGGCGTTCCGCATGATTTACAAGAATGGATTGACGAACTAGTTGATATGACCAGTATTCCCGAATCAAGGCTTCGGGCATCTGCTAGCGCCAACGACTCACGATTGAGTGTGCCGTCCATAATCACCACGCGATATCTCGCAGATATCACCAGACGCCTGGGTCGAGCGCGCCATCAAAATGCGCGTTTCACCAATGCCTGGGAGCGGCTTGTTAGGGAAGCTGCTGATACCCAATCAATTATTGATTCTTCTGCTTCCAAAAGGCTCGAATTCTCTCTTCCTTCATTTCGATCTTCTCCGAATAAGTCAGTCACATATATGACCCCCACTGTACGATACTATATCCACGTACATATTCTACCAGCTGCGAGGCTGATTCTCGCGGGTTTCTTCTCATTGGCGTCTGCCTGTGTTGTCTGGTCTGAAATCGTCAAATCTTTTGCCCCTAGAGTTTCTATTGTCACCCTTTCTGTTGTCCACAATCCCACAAAATCTGAACCAATTGGGTTCTTAGGCCAAGTTGCATCTGCAGCATGGATTTTTTACATGTGCTCAGCCGCATTTGTTGGCATCACGGATGCCAGAGTTTGGGGCAACCGGGCTCTCGTCCCACGAAACACCTATAGCGAAAGCGCCTGTTGGTATGCAGGCCAAATTGCGAAGCTTACAGTTCCACTTTCTTACAACTTTCTTACATTCCTTCCTCAAGACATCCAGAAGAAAACCACCTTTTACCACTTCCTTGGGCGCCTAATCAATCTAACGCCACTAGGCAAGGGCTTTGATTACGCTTTTCCAATTTTCATATTGATACCCGTTTGCGCAACATTATTCAACTTGTACGGACGAGTTAAACGCTGGTTTGATTTCGGTTTGCTCGAGGATGAGGATGAGAATGTGACACTCAATGATAGTGGGTTTGGAGTCGGGGGCTGGCGGGAAGGCCGGGAACTGATAGAGAGGGAGCTAAGTGGGCCCGGCTCTCTAGGCCTTTCGTCACAGGCGGCGGCTTCGGTATATGGGCGAACAGCATCTGCGCCTTCCAGTCGTCCTACAATATGGGTGCCGCCCGCAGATCGCCCAAGAACCCAAGGTCAAGGACCAACAGGCAGGCCTACCTCCACGACTCGCACACCAACAGTCGCGCCAGAGGAAGACGAAGAGGATGAGAATTTCTTCCAGTCATTCGCGCACCGGGTCCGAAACACCTTTGAAACGGCTAGCACTCCACAGTGGTTCCGTGGGGATAATGTTAGCATCCAGCGGCCTAGGTGGCTCGGAGGTCAGGAGCCCGAAGAAGGGAATAATACTACATCCGGACTTGGGAGATGGTTTGGTGGGAGACCCTCAGAAGGGCAGGTGCGAATATGAACTTTGAAGCCGAGAGATCTAGAAGATCAGTCTTCTGTATTGACAGGGAGAATGGATGCCTGCCACTCGCTTGTGGGCCACTGACGTTATTGCTGTTTTGTTTCGACTGGCAATTTAGTACCGCTTTGTAGAACATAGAATGTATGTCCAGCATAATAATTCATATTTACTCCGTGCGCTTGCTTCCTCGTAGTGATAAATGGGCATGCTGTAGTTAAAGAGGTAACTCTCCTGGTTATGGATATTTGCCACGGCCCACCAGACCACTGTCAAAGGTGAACGCGACAAAAGCGAAATGGGCATTTGACCACCATCCATGGATGAATCACTTTTCTCTGCCGAATTAATTGGAAAACAAGTCTTCCTATTATTATTCAAAACATAAACGATTCACAATTACTTCAGCAAAAGTTTTCAGAGGGATGTTTGTGTTTGTTTGAAGTTGAACATGAATAATTGCTCTGGAACTTGGCTTGGGTGGGCAGCCCTGCACTGCAGCCCGTTGCCGCGACCAGAACGAGGTGAAAAAAAGGCGCTTGCCAGCCTGCCAGGCAACTCGCAGCGCAGTCCTGTGACCCCCGCCGCCATCAGCCGAAGGAAAAAGTCAACCGCCATTGAGAGAAGGAAAAAAAAAAAAAAAAAAACCTGAGGCTCCGGATACCAACTCTACCATGCACCACCGCAACCCCCCCCCCTCCCTCTCTTCCATTTGGCACAATCGCTCTATGACACTCGTTTCCTCCCATTTTTCCTCCCTCAGCGCGACATCCGCTTCATATCTGGAGTCTCTGGCGACTCATCTCCCAGACTCCGTCCGGAGTGCTGTATCACGCTTTGCGACCGCACTTTCTAAAGTTGACCCAACATCGTCATCACCCCTGTGGCTAGATAGCCTTGCGAAGCCCTTCGAGGCTCTACCACTCCTTACCACATCAACCCCCACCGCCCGTGTCGGGGTCACCCTTCTTTTAGCCTTGCTTCTTGCCGTTCTTGCGATGAGCTGGAATCCATGGAGAGAGCGCTTATCTCCCTATAGAAACACTTCCCCGCCAACCGTTGCCGATGATGACTACAGCTACGTAACTGTCGATGACGCCGACTATATAAGAGCACGGCATAACCTGAGCTACTCCCCCACCGAACCGCGGAGCAACCAACATCCCCTTACAATCGCCGACGACGATGAATCTAAGCCAGATGTGATCATCCTAAAATACAGAGGGAAATCATACCGTCTCAATTTCCCCGCTTATTCCATTGGCGACGGACTGATAACGGTTGGGAATGTGAAATTGGCTGCCGCAAATGCACTGGATGTCCCGGACACACGGCAAATAAAACTTCTTTACAAAGGCACTGTGTTGAGAGATGACTCCGCCCGAGCCAAGGATGTCGGGCTGAAGCAGAATTCCGCAACAATGTGCGTGATATCGGATTTCCTCCCAGATACGTCGAGCGAGGAGAGCTTAGTGACACCTGCAACCTATGACATGCCTGAGACCACCAACCAGCAATCCCCGTCCCCCCCTCCTGCCAATGGGGGTGGCGGCAGCGGTGGCCGCAAAAAAAGACGTAACAAGAAGCGCTCCAATAATAACGCGGCGAAGGACACACAGGAATCAGCGCAAAGCCCATCTACACCTTTTGCGATACCTATAGAACGGCCTCAACAGCAAAACCCACAACGAGCACCCCAACAATCCCCCCCATCCTCCTACACCAGCAATTCACCCAACCTCTCCGCCCGGCCTTTAGCCAATGACAACAACCGGCCCCCGTCCTCCGCCAGTACATCCCCGCGCCCCTCCCACATTCCCAAACCGTCCCCGAACCTCAACCTCGTCCGTACGCCGCAAGAAAAGATCAGCCTGCTCAGCAGATATTTCCACGAGACCCTCGAACCTTTAATACGCGAATATATCCAGCATCCGCCCGCGGACCAGAAGTCGCGGGATTTCGAGCACCGCAAGCTTAGCGAGACAATAATGATGCAGGTTATTTTGAAGGTGGATGGGATTGAGGTTGACGGCATTGAGGAGGCGAGGCAGCAGCGGAAAGCGCTTATTGTTACAGTGCAGAATTTGTTGAAGTTGCTTGATGAGGCGCATAGGCGCGGATAGGGGGGTGTTGGGTGTCCCTTTTTTTATTTATTTATCTTGATTTATTTACGCATTTTGCCGTGCTTCTTTTCTCCTACGCTCTATTGCATACATTCCTAGGCTTTGGTCCGTATTCTGTCGTACTTGTGATTATGCATTGTTTCTTTATGCTCTATCCTAGTTTTCAATCTTCAAGTTTATCAATCGGCGCTTTTTAGTATGAGCCGGGTAATCCCCAGGCGCGAGAGAGTTTATACTTTTCTTTTTCCTTTAGACAAGACATCAACATCAACAACGACAAATGGAAAACATTTTGACTCATAACGGAATGCATATTAGGGCATGGGATCGGATTTCTTTTTCCTCATCTCTACTCCCGTATACCCGCATCAATTAGACATCTTCACCCTTGTTGAATGACCATACTGACCTGATTGGCGCTGGTTGGCGCCATTTTCTTCTGATGATAATAACAATAACGATATATATTAATAGACTCTTCCAATGTTGTACGGATATACATTTCCCTTTGGTTTTCTTGGGGGTTTTTTTTTTATAGCTTTTTCCTTTCCCGCGCGCTGCTCCACGATCCAATCAGAACAAAGTCCCCAGGTGTTCTTTCTGTACTCCATACGTTGCATGAGAATATTAGAAATGGGACCAGGTAAGGCGGGGAAAGGACGACTCTAGAAGCCAGTCAAACAACCAGATGGTTTTTTTTTTTTTTTTTTTTTTTTCCTTGAAAGGATTAACCTACTCGAAGGGAAAAAAGGAACAGGTAAAGTAAAAAATCTAAACCGTCATTGAGTTTCTCTTTTTAGATATCCATTCCGTTGGATGATCCAATGGCGTACGCTATGCTTCTGGAAGCATTGGGGGAGAAAAACGTGTGTGTAAATGATTTTTTTAAACAATGAGAAAAACGTGTGTGTAAATGTATCTCTACAATAAATGTTCTAGACGGAAAAATGTCAAACAGCGGCGAAGAATGAAAACTGAACTGATCGTTTTTAATTAATTACTGACCAGGAGACAACACAGGGTTGAACTAACTTTCGGGCCGCCGAAACCTTTCCCAAAGTACAGTACGGACTGGACTCCGCTTTCTGCTGTTTCATAACCCTGGTATGGACCACGAACAAAAAAAGTAAATAAGAGGAATACACCGGAGAAAAAGTCGTTTCGAGTTCGGGTTTGGACTCCCCTTTTTGCAGATTGTATGCTATATGTAAACCGTGCCAAGCGCACTCACTACGGAGTACAGTGTTCTGCTAAAAAGTTTGAAACCCTCCCCTTTTACGCTAGGCTTAATATAATTTAGGGCTGGATAGTTAGTATACAAGATATTATTGAGAATTTGAAAATTTGAGGAAGAATCATGCCAAGGCGGGTCAATTAGGGCTTTTTAATACTAAATAGTGATTCAGCTAAATTACATTAAGCCTAGTGTAAAAGGGGAGGGTTTCACACTTTTTAGCAGAACACTGTACCTCTAGGAGTTGCACCCAAGTATAAAGAAAGTGTCACTGTAACAATACAAATGAAAATAGGTATCTTCTCTATGCGATTCTCATATAAAAGATACCTATTTATATTTTTACCAACATGAATATATACTTCCAAGTATATTTCAACTATTTTTTTTTAAAGCATAGCAGATTTCAAGGTTGAAGAATGACAAGTTTTTATTATAAAAAAATTATAAAACACTTGAAAAATGGTACATAATGATGATGAAGATATTCATGGTTTTCAATAAGTACCTTTTGTATGAGTTTCTCATACAAAAGTTACGTTTTTCTTTATGGTGATATTTGCTGGGGCGCACTCACTAATGAGAGGTAGTTAGTGGGTTGTGCTTGGCACGGTTAGTGGCAAGATACCTAGGGAGTTGCAGACACACCCACTGGACAGCTAGGGAGCAGGCCGGATATGAAGAATCCCAGCAGCTGAGCCAATCACATTAGCCCCTGACGATCTTTGGTGGCCTCGAGGAATAAGGATAGGATAGTGAGGAGAGAGAGCTAGGGAGAATATAATCTATACAGTACCCGGTGGTTTGAACGGCAAATGGGTATATAGGTAATCATTAGGAAGGGTAATCCGCACATATGACCACGGGTGTACATATCATGCATGCTGAGCGATAATAATATACATACATATAACTGTGGAGTAACTAACCAACGGTTTGTTCTGATGTTCAGCTTCGAAGGCTCCAACTTGTTTAAATAACCAGCGGGAGCACAATCATTCCGAGGGCGATGGCAGGGCTACAGGCCACTAACCGCTGTAACAAGCCCACATCTGGTGGTCCCGTCTGGCTCTTCGCAGTTAGCCCTTGGAGCATGGGCGGTTTAGTGAGCAAAACCCCCAACCCAACCAACGATGATGGTGTTATTTAACCAACAACAAACCAAGGAACAACCAAGCACTCACGCTTTTCGACTCTCCAGCTTGGGGACGGACCGCAGCCACCTTTGTTTTTTCCTGCGCAAAACCAGTTCTCTTCTCCCTCTTCTTCCTTCTTCTTCTTCTCTGCTTGCTTTGTATTATTATTTGTATGTACAGTTTCTGGGCACGTCACTCTTTTTGTGCCTAGTAGTGCTCTGTTTCTTCCGACCCTGGTCCACTCGTTGCCTCCTTTTAGTTGTTACTATTCTTGTAGTTAGTTCTGCCACCCAAAAGGAAAAACATCAACCTCCTCCCTCGCTCTCACTCCCTCCTCCCCTTCAATCTATCTTCTTCCATACCTCACTCTCCCCCCAACGCTCACACTGGGCTGTGCAGCTCAGTAGAGTGCTGCATTTAATTTAATTCTCCTACATGGGCCGTACTGAGACGATCGTTTTACCCTTTCCTTTCCTTTAATCGCTGATCTATTGCCCAATTCGCGTTTTCCCACGCCGTTCAAGAACTGCCATCTTCTTGTCAACACCAAAGCCGCCCCCCCCCCCGGGGCCGCCGACAGAGCTGCTCTTTCCGACCTTGATATCCTCCGCACTCCTTCTCTCGACTTTTCCTGTGAAATTTCGAGTGTACCGGCTACATCGTTTTATCGACTACCATAACCCCACCTCCTCCTCTCGTCCCTCCACACGGCTTTGTTTTGTGTTACAATCCCGGCCTCCTCGCGATTTGTCTGGCCAAATCCACCACAGAGCCCGGCTTTAATGGAATCTAGTGTGCTCTACAGGCCGGAGTGGATTGACCGATAAAAACCAACGAAAAAGACAGAAAGAGGAGAGAAGAACAGGAGGGAACCCTAAAGAAAAGGAGTAGATCTTTCTGGCTCATTCCAGAACGGATTCGTTGCACAATAGAAATAGAATAGGGCTTGCTGGCATGGCAGAAGCTGCTGCAACGCATTCTGTAGATGCTCTGCCATCGCCAAGCAGCGTCAATGGAAAAGAGCAGCCATGGGATTTCTCCGTCCCAATCAGCCAAGATGTACGTGTGACACTGTCCCCTCTCAATTGTTTCTTGTCTCTGCCCGTTTTTAATCTCTGTCTCATGCCTCAATGAGTGCTTAATTACGCCTGTTCTGGTGTGCATGGTTTGTATGGCGTGCTGTGACTCCCTGTCTCTCCGGCTCCCTTCCAGCCTCGCCGCGGCCGAAGAAACCATTCAGATGAGCTGACATAGGTTGAAAAATATACATCATTCCTCTTCTACCTTGATCTGCTCCCTTTTTATATATGTCTTCCTCCATTACGTCAAGTTTGGTTCTTGTGGAAAATACCCCTTTGCTAATTATATCCCAACAGCCCCAGCAGCAAAATGCACATGTCTCAACTGCCTCTAAGCCACGAACTTCCAACGATTCGACCGCCACATACTCAAGGTCTAGTCAGCGGCATAATCAACCACCTCTAGTCAACGGAACCACGCGGTCTCGGAACTCATCACGGTCCGGCTCCAGACAGGGCGACACGGGCTATCTACTGCACAGTCGAGTAGATGCGCTGGGAAAGCGGGAACCAACACTAAGTCGAACGGGCAGTGAGGTAGATAGCCTTTTGGATTTATATGGTCGAGACTCAGCCAATAGGAGTGCCGTGAGCGTGATGGAATCGGAGGAAAAAAAAGCTGACAGTGTTGGCTTCGGTAACGAGGATTTGGACAGCGCTAATTGGATCCATCGGGACAAATTGGCTAAAATTGAGAGTGAGGAATTACAACAATTTGGCATCCAGCTCCACCAGAGACAGGTTCGTGCCGGAAGCAAGTCGAGCAGCAGACGAGGCAGGAGCCATGATTCCCATAGCAATGCCACCAATGGGACGATGGAGATGGGCGAGCAGTGGCCCGGGATGCGCGAAGAAAAACGGCAGCGGATCACATCCCCTGTGCCAGTTGAGTATGAGGAACAAGAAGAGCCGGATAACAACGAACCGGTCGTCTTTGATGACCCCCGCTTACCTGAAGAAATCGCTGCAGATCCGTACGAGGAGGGAAAAAACGCTTCCCAAGTATATCGCCAAGCTGTTGGACTCAGGAAAAGCGCTTCCAAAATACCGGTTCTTGCGACGAGTCCTCATCCCATCCCAGTAGAACATTTAGAACGTGAAGTCCCCTTAAATCGCGCACGAAACAACACGCTTGGGAGCGGAGATGATGACAGCATTTCATATGCAAAAACCCGCAAGATCAGCGATCCTCTACCGAACGCAACTGATAACACTCCTGAGCCAGAAGCGCAACCGCAACCGCAGCAGCAACCGGACCGGCAACCACGACCTCAAGCGCAATCGCAGACGTCAGCTAATTCAACACCTCCCGCGAGTCGACCCACCAGTGGCATCATCACTTTTCCACCGCAAAACTCTCCTCCAAAACCGAAAGCAACTTCTCGACAAACAAGTACCGCCCGTAAAACATCCAATCTACCGAATTCTCGCAAGTCATCGACATCGAAACCCAAGGCGACGGCAAGTAGCAGCAACAGCGCCAGCGGTGCATCCAATCCGCGTCCGTCTACCAGATCTGGGGACGACCGTCCCCGGACAGCAGTTAACCGTCCGGAGGGAGATCCGCCGTGGTTGGCGACCATGTATAAGCCCGACCCGCGCCTGCCACCAGACCAACAAATTCTCCCCACCCACGCGAAACGACTCCAACAGGAACAGTGGGAACGAGAAGGCAGAGTTCCGTCCACATATGACCGGGATTTCGCACCTTTGGCTATTAATGAAATTGATAAACCCACTCTTCCCAGTCTAGATACCGAAAAGGCTCGGGAAAGTAATACCGCTTCGTCCCTGTGGCCACCAACGCCGACGCCGAAATCTCCGGACAACAACAATCGCCCCAGCACAGGCGGGACGGACCACGGTGGTTACAAAACTATACCAACAGTGCAATCCTCCATATCCCCGAAACCATCGCAAATCTCAAAACCAAAACCGCAGCCACCACCTGCGGATGACCCTCCAGTGAAGAAGGGCTGTGGCTGTTGCATTGTCATGTAAATGGATCCTTATTTAACAATAACAACAGCGGGGTTCTCCACGAAATGCTCAGATGACATACTTTCTGATTAAGATGCAGCCAAACGAAAAAATGAATAAAGGGAATTAATACAAGAAATCCTCCACAAAATCCCTCTCCGGACTTGGGCAACATTTCTTGCAACAAACTTCCCGCCAGCTGATTAACTTTCCTCAATCCGTGTCAACTCCCCGCCGCCTTCGCCACCTTACCTTATTCTTATCTTCTTTTTACCTTCTTGAAATATTGTGTTAGTTATTTATTTCGAGAACTTTGTACTGTACATTCAAATATACAAGGTGGTCAGGGGCTCATATTACCCCTCCCTCCTTGAGTTTTCCTTGTGTTTCTATTTTTTGAAAGCTTATCTCATCCGTAGCCCATCGGCGTTTATTTTCTATTGTTTCATTCTGTTTTCCTAGCTCTGTCCTTGCGGTTGGTTTGGCTTGCTTTTTTTAATCCTTTCTTGGCCCCTTTATTTTACTTTGAGCAAGCCGTTGAACTTTTTCGTCGGCTGTTTATCTCTCTTTCTTTTCTCCTTTTCCCTTCTTCTCGCTGTGTATTCTCACGAATTTTACGATATCTTCCTTTCTAATTGTTAAATTATATTCCCTTTCTTTTTAAGTGGCTTCTTTCTCTTATTTCCTTTCCTGGTGCTTTTTTTCTCTTTTGTGTTTTCCTTATTTTCCCCGCGTCCTGTTCTCGTCCTTCCTGCGACTTTTCCTTCAACTAAAATATTGCGGACGTCCTTTCCTTATCTTTTCTATCTTATCGAATTTGGTGTCATGTACTTTTGAGACTGCAAACTTTCTTGTCGCTGCCCCTGCCATCCAGCTTTGCTCTTTTCCATTTTTTTTTCCATTGATTATTTCTACTTACCTTCGACCTATGTACTTCCTCTTGTTATGCAAGCTACTTTTACAATCGACAACAGTCACAAACCAACAATAACCCGCCCCTACAGAGATATTTCCGGGAATGGTTGTTCTAGCTATCTCTCATTCTCAAATCTCTCTCAAATCTTATCCTGCTCTGGTACATAAAATCCTTCCGGGCCTATATTATCGCCTATTCATATACCAATTGCCTCTTCCCGTTCCCACTCCCATCCCATTTCTCCCCCCCCTTCTCCTTTTCCATCGCAGAGACTTTAGCGGAATATTTACGGGGAAAAGGAGGGCGGGTAGGAATATATACATATAATATAAAACAGAATGGTCTCTCTTCTTTAAATCTCGTGTTAGAATTCTCTTTTTTCATACATTTTTACAACTAGTTGGTTTACTTATCATGCTATTTGGCTTGGTCTCGATCCCTGAACCTTCGATGCCTTTTTTTTTTCTTTCCTTTCCTTTTTCTATATAGTTTTAAGAATAGAGTAACTGAAGAAATAGAAGAGGGTGTCCCTGAAAATCGAGTAGGGTTGACGGTAGTCCCACCCCGCACTCCTATCTTTTGATATTTATTGACTTTAACGTTGACATATTACCCTCATGCACATAGAAAAGGCACTATACCGTCCATTATCCAAAGCCCCTGTAGTTCAGTTGCTCTTCAGGGGCATACAGATGAGATACCCGGGCTATGTACTATACATGTAGTTTGTTTTCTCAGCTACATAAGGTGTACATATATACAGCACATGCGCACATGCGTGTGTTTGGTCTGATTTGTGTGGGGATATCAATATGCGGGAGCATATCATATCACTTCCGTTCTTTTTGTCATCTTCCTTTGTTCGCTTTTTTCAATGTGTGCGGGATAGTTGTTCCTATTGTAACACCTCCCTCAGTGAGGAGACTTTTTGTAAATAAAGAAAGGTATGTCCATTTCCTCGTCCTTTTTTTCCCTCTTCTTATTCACTTTCTATGTCTATTGGCATTTTTTTATAGCTCTTCATACTAGTTATATTTATGATTTATTTATTAATTAAGTGAAGAGCTTCTCATCTAAAGTAGCAACCTAGGTACCCATATCCACCCCCCCTCCCCCCCCCCCTCCCCAGCCAGTTGCCCGAGCAGGAAAACCAACAAGGAAACATGACGATAATCCATTCAGAATTCCTACCTCCGCACCTCTACTACGCCTTTCCAACAACATGGCTATTTACCATCATCATCCTTATATCCGCCACTGCTGCCGTCTCATACATGGGAGCAGTCGTTATCTACCGCCTATACTTCCATCCGTTGTCACATATCCCCGGCCCGCGACTTGCAGCCGCAACGCACCTTTATAATTTCTACTATAATGGGATATGCAGCGGCAGGCTGTATCTGCAAATAGAGAAGTTGCATCGAATATATGGTAAGTAAGGCTAAACTCTTTATATATATATATATACATACCTTTTTTTATCTTTACACATCCGATAGGCCCTGTAATCCGCATCTCCCCAGCGGAAATCCACCTAAGCGATCCGGAAAACTACGACAGGATCTACCGCGACGGCAACGGTTATGCCAAACCCCATTCATTCTACAACACCTTCCTAAGAGGCAGTTTGAAAGTCTTCACAAAGCCCCAATTGGGAACTTGCCAGGCCAAACATGCCAACGCGGCTCCTCCCCTTTTCTCCCCCAGGCATGCCCCAGAGCTCGAGTCCATCATCCAAGCAAAGGCCGGGACTCTCGAGAGACGTATTCGAACCCGCCTGCGCAACGTAGGGAAGATAAACCTGCACTATGCCTTCCGTGCGATGTCGGTGGATATTGTTACCCAGTATGCATCTGATGGTAAGGGGTATGGGTTTCTGGGGAGGGAGGACTTTGGGAAGGAGTATTTTGTGCTTGCGAGGCAGGTGGCGAGGTTCGTGTGGGCGTTTCAGCAGTTTCCGACCTTGATGGGGTTGTTGGTGAGGGTGGTGCCGGTTCGGGGAGTTAGGGAGCTTACCCGGCTGCTTGAGCAGAGTGGGATGCGCAAGGTACGTATAAACATGTTTGCTGTATTGTTTTGTTGATATTGATTCTAGGGGCTTGGAGGGAGGTTCTGGTTCCTTCTGGTTTTTCCGACATTGAGTGTTAGTTCAGGGACGAATTACCGTTCGACTAATCATTATGCTTTTATACGGCATTTACTTTATAGGGGTGCTTCAACCCAACTCTCCTGGAGGTCGATGCCGTGGGCGGTCAAGACAACGAGGAGGGGAGGTCAGCTATCGGATATTCGAAAGCAGACGTATATGATGCTCTCGCCATCGTGTCGCATATGGCGGGAAACCCATTAACGATCACGGCGTACAATACCGTTGTGAACAAGGAGGTATATAGGATGTTGAAGACGGAATTGACAACTGCGTTTCCCGATCCGAAATCCGAACCTACTTTTGCGGAACTGGAGAAGTTGCCGTTTTTGGTTAGTAGCCTGAATCCTCAGATACTCTGCCATTTTTGAGAGGAGAGTGCTGACTTCTAGGTATTGTGCTGCATGGTGTAGACTGCTGTTATCAAGGAAGGCTTTCGGTTAGACTCCATTTTGCTTCCCTGAGCAAAATCCTAGCAAGTAATGAGACTCACTGGGCCACCACAGGTTATCATATGGAATGCTTGGGCGTCTTCCACGAGTCGTTCCAGAACCTGGCGCCGAATTCAATGGTTACAGAGTCCCCGCAGGTACAAGTTTGCAGTCAATCTTTTTCCCTCATCTTCCTATAAAGGAGCTGTGTACTGGACAGGGATTTTCCCAAATATCATTAACAAGTCCCCAGTCACTCGTTAGTATGAGTTCGTGGGTGATGCACCGCAACGAAGAACTCTTCCCAGAGCCTGATGAATTCGATCCTTCCAGATGGCTGGGCACCAGGGCAAGCAGTAAGAATTTAGAGCAGTATCTGGTGATGTTCTCGAAGGGCTCAGGACAATGCATGGGATTGCCGTATGTTTCCCAGCAGGATCAATTTACCCCCGCTCACTCCATGAAAAGGAAGAGGAAAAGGAAAAAAAAAAAGAAAAAAAAGAACAGAAAAGACTAATTATATGGTCCATCGCATCACTCAAAACCAGGCTTGCATATTGCGAAATGTACATCGCGCTGGCGAGGCTTTTTCGCCATTTCAACGACCTGACGATAGAGCCAAGAGGCCAGGAGGATCCAGGCTATGATGATTTCTTTACTCCTTATCACCGGCCTGGGAAGGAAATTTTTTGCTTTGCGGGATCAGGGTGCGACCAGCTGTGAGCAGGGTTGACTCAGGGATTGGTACGCGTAGAAAGATTTTTGACATGTTGGTCGTCGGCATAACCAGCAGCGTCCAAGGGTAACGTTATTATTCTGGGGAGCCTACAGGTAACTAAGGACTAGCCGACGGTTTACTATTTACGTAAGAAAGATGTAGGAACCTGAGTAATCGCAGTTGGCTTCAGTGGATGTCATTGGCTGGGGTAGCAGCTTCATACGCATTTGGAATCTTCTTAAATCATCTCTCAATTATTGCCAGCTTGGGCTCAACATAAATAATAATATAATACTGAGGATCTCGGCAGTGTAGAATGACGTCGGGGGAGAAACTCCGGAGCATGACAAATCCCCATCTTGCAGGCACATGACGGCCAGAGTGCTCCGCTCCTGTGCTGATAAGGTCGTCCAGACACGGAGAAATTGTTCAATTCCAGTTATCCAGACATTATTCATTTTTTCTTCTATTAGTAAAGTATCTCACCTTTTTTTTTTTTTTTTTTTTGAGAGTACAGAGTAGTAGTTCATAGTAACATTATAGAGGAAGGCAGCCTATGTTGCTGATTTCAGTGTTGTGCATATTTATTTAAATAGTTAAATAGCTGAATTCTGCCCAACTCTGCCTCCTCACCAGTGCTTATTTAGACAATCACCACGCAGCACAACAACATCACACCTGCCAACACACATCAGATCTTTCTTCTTCTACTACAAGCAAGCCTTTATTATTCTCCTTTCATCGCAAGTAACGAAGGCTCGTGGGCCTTCATCCAATTGCCCAACATAGCGTCCATTTTCCGCCGCTTTCTCGGGTCTCTCGCCGGCCCAAATCCCGCAACTATGTCTGCTGCAAAGTCCAAGGTTGAGCACATTATTGCCCAAAACAACGTCGGTATGTCTATATAAATCTGCTTGTGCCCTCCTAGCTCCTATAGGGATAGTTATATGAACACCAATTCCTCTTATTTTCACGCTCCTATGTGATATATCACTTATATAATCTACTGCAGAGTCAAATGGCTAATATCGAAAAATAAAATAAAAAATAAAATAAAACAAATAAACAGTCGTCTTCTCGAAATCCTACTGCCCCTACAGCAGTGCCACCAAGTCCCTTCTGAACGAACTAGGCATCCCGTATTACGCCCTTGAATTGGATGAAATCGGTTCGTACTCTTCAATACTTCCCGCTCTCACCCCTATACTACCCCCTGCGTCCTACAATTAGCTAGCTAGCCCTTTCCTTCCTATCTTACAATCGACAATCAATAAAAGAAAAGAAGAAAAGAAGCGATCACTATGTTAACACCTAAATTATACAAACCAGATGACGGCGCTGCCATTCAAGATGCCCTGGCAGCCCTCACCCACCAGCGCACCGTGCCCAACATCTTCATCGCTCAAAAGCATATTGGCGGCAACTCTGATATTCAGGCCCGCAAGAGTGAATTGTCGGCTCTCGTGAGCGCTGGGGCCGCTGCCAAAGCTTCCAAGGCGTGATTTTCTTCGAAGGTAGAGAGAGAAATGCCGCTGTAGAGTAGGTGGATAATGCGAGGTTTCCAGGGGGCCGTATAGATTGATGGTAGGCGGCTGGATGGTTTTCTTTTCTTTTTTTTTTTTTTGTCCTTGCTAGCTTTTACGTTTTGATATGGAACTCAGTTAATTCGGGGATTTGTTTTTGCTCTGGTTTTTGTAAATACCTTGAGCTGCTATGACTGTAATTAATGAAAAGAGATAAGACAAATCTCAATAGGCATTCTGCAGATAAGTAGAATAGTAATTGCATCTAGCTAGCAAAGATCGTCTAATTTTTACAGTGGTACAGAGGTTCAAAAAATATCAACAAGAAATAACTAACTATAATACACTGTTCTTAACCAAAAAAATTTTTGGCAAGAAGGAATGCCGAATTTTAATCCAAATCTACATAATAGTAGACAGGAATAGCACAAACAAATCTACTATTGTTACAGCTCGCACTTAATCATACCATCCATCATGCAACCCTTTGCTCGACAGTCCCGACCGGCCTCCCTACAATCCCCATGACACCATCAACCACACTATTCCTTGCCCCCTCGCTAGCCACTTTCTTCCCGGCCAGATACGCCATCCACAACAACCGGCTTACCCGCTCATCCTGCATCGAGCCCAGCCAAACCATCGGCTTCCCATTCTCAGGATCGAGCATCGTCTCCAGGCCCCCAACTTTATTCCGAAGCAGATACAGAATCTGGCCTTTGGGCACATTCTTCCTTGCCCCGCCACCAAACAGCGACTTAAAGTCATTAAGCGAGGTACCAAAGCTATCATCCTCAAACTCAGAAGTCACCACAGCACCGGCTGGTATCGCCGAGCCTTGCTTCGCTGCAACATCCTGCGCCCGTGCATTTGCACTCTGCGCCTGCGCCGTGATTGCACGTACCCATCCATCCCTCAGATGTAGTAAATCCGTATTTCTCGTAGGCACAATGCGTAGCGCGGTGCGGACCCCGGTGTCTCTGAGGATGTCGTTCCAGACCTCCTGTCCCTGCTCCGGGTCTAATAGCATCTGTTTTAGCGCCTCCCGCTCGCCGGGAACGAGTGAAGTGGCCACCACGGCGTTTCCATTGACTGCAGAGGAAGTTACGGGCGTCGCGGCTTGTTTGATGAGATGCTGTTGTAGAGCTGCGATGTCTGAGTTGGCGATGTAGAGACCCACGACGTAGACTTGGATGCTGAGGAAGGAGACGGAGCGGATGCCTAGGCCGAGTAAGGTGTATTCTTCCGTCTTGGTGTTAGGAGGGAAATCATCGCCTGCTCGTCCACCCGAGGGCAGGGCCTGAGGGGCATCGACAGGGAGTCTGATGGTTTTGGGGAAAGTAGGAATTGTGGAATTCTCCGTGGGAATTTGCTCTATGCCGTCGATTATTGTCGTTGTTTGGTTGTCTCCTAGGCCGGGTGGACCTTCAAGTTTGATAATCTTGCCTCTGTCATAGCCTCTATCTGATGAAGATGACGATTGTCCGTCCTTTTTATCGCTCTGAGCATTCTTCTCCAATCCTGATGTATTAATGATAGCATACATGCCAATTGCAGAGGCGACAATGCCCGCAGCACATAGGGCAATGCTGCGGTGATATCGTTGGACAGGGTTCGTGGGGTCCTGAGCGCCAGCTCTGCGTTGGGGGTTCACGGTAAACCGTGCCACGGGGCTTGGGCCCCCTGCGGATACATGGCGACGCTGCTGTTGCTGGGAATGGCGGAACGGTATGCGGGTTGACCGTTGTGTTTGACGGATGCATGGGATCGCGGAGCGACGGAATGGAGTATGGAGGGAAGAGGACGGTATATTCATCTTGGCGGCGTGTTGTACTAGCTGCTGATTGATGATATTTCGTATCGCAAGCTCAATTGAAGTCTTCCGTCGTTCCTCCACGCCGATGGCGGAATGCTTCGGCATTCCGCCGATTTTGGGCATCGATGATATAATCGGCCCCGTCCACTAACTAGCTATTGTGGCGGACATATTACTTGCGAAAACAGAATTTTCCCAGCCCCCCCTGAAAATTAGTAGCAAAACACCACCAAAAAATCAAAATATCCGCATTTCTCTAGAATCATTCAATATCATCCAATACATGTCTTTTTCAATCAAATATCATCCAAATACGCGTCTTTCTTACCTTTATCATCAAATCCACATATATCAATCAACCCTTTTTTCAATATGCCTCACAACGCCCGCCGTCCTGCTGCTTTGCAAGCCCGTACAAAGACTCCTACCCTGCACCTCAGTCTCCCCAAACTACCTGTTCCAGAAGTTCCGGATAATGGAGAGGATCTGGTCAATGATGAGATGGAGGAGCAGGTGAATGAGGAGGATATAGAGACTCAGTCTGAGGATCCTCAATATCCGCGAATCCCTACACCTGAGTCTGACATCTCATACAGATTGTATGAACAGGTGATTATCAATGAGATAAAGGATTCTGTCAAGATCAAATACCAGACTGTCTCAGCAAATGATTCAACTATCAGCTTCTTTCATATTCAATATACTGCAGAAAAGATGGCTGAGGAGTATATTACAAAGCAGATCTGTAAGGAGATGAAAGTTGTAGATTATACAGCTGTTATCACATCATACAAATGTGAATTTCAGGCCAACAAAATCACCATTAAGAAGGAGAAGGATTGAAAGAAGATAATTAATCTTTTGAAGAAGTTGTATAAGAAGAAGATAAGTGATCTTATCATTGAAGTCATCTCTTCTTTCAATCTTCTTGATATCTCAATACTATCTTTAAACACATCTGTAATACACAGTTCTGCAGCTTTTATTGAAGTGCCAGATTCACAATTAACAACTCAGGCATTGGCATCAAAAAGAGCTCTTGATGTTAAAGAAGACACAATCTCATCATTCTGTGATTCTCATCACTGTTCTGTCAAATTCTCTCAAATTCATGAAATATCTGATGATGAAAAGCCATCTATATATTCAAGAATCACAGTCATCAGTCAATAACTGAAGAAGATTTGAAATCAATGATCAAAGAAATGAGATTCTTTGCAGATTGAATGTGAGATAACTGCTCAGTAACATTGTCAAAAGATGAATTATTATAACTTTGAGCAGAGCACTTACTGAATAGTATATAATGATACTCATATTCAACTTCTGAGTAGTGAGATTGTAAGTTGAATAGATGATATTGAATGTAATAAAGCAATGATTAAGACTTCTTTAAGAAAGATGACAAAACAATTAATAAGTAGAAAGAAGAAGAAGAATCAGAAGAATGAATCTATAACTTCTATATTTAATTCTTCTATACAGATCTCTCAATTGTCAGCAGTTATATTTCCTTCTTCAGCTTCAGCAGCTTCAACTTCATCAAATATGACATTTTCAAGTGAGATAATCAATGTGATGATGATGAAATATATAATAAAAGAAATAGAAGAACTGAATTCACAATCTTATTATCATTCACATTCAGATCTGTTATCAAATCTTTCATTGAATTCTTTATTAAATCTGCTGTTGAATTCTTCATTGAATTCTTCATTGAATTCACTGTTAAATTCATCATCAAATCTGCTATCAAACTCTTCATCAATTTCACTGTTAACTTCATTAAATTCATCTTCAATTCAAAGCAGTTCAATATCTTAATTTAATGAATAAGCAGATTTATTCTTTGATGAATACTTTAAATAGTTAATAATCTGAAGATCTAATAAAGCTTCTGATTTATTAGATATCAAGTTCATTCTTCAGAAGAAAGGATTTGAATTGAATTATCTATGAATGTTGACAAGAAAACAGTTGCTTAATATAAATATTAAGAAGAGTATATTTCAAATTATAAGAGATGAATTAAAAAGTTCATTATAATAGACAAGATTGCAGGAATTTAAATCATCTCTATCAACTGCTTATAGTGATGAGAGTAGATCTTATACTACTTCAATCTCTAAATCTGTATTATAGTTGAATGAATTGCAATCTGAATCTTTCTGATTATTATAATACTATTCTATATAAGCAGATCTGAAATATTCTTTTATATCTTTTTCTCTTATAAAGTTCTCAACTGTATGATGTAAAAAAGCTTTAAAATCTTTATTAAACTGAGTATCTAACTGATCTCTATATCTTCTAATTTATTTCTTTAATGTGTGAAAAGACTTCTCTATAGAATTATAGTCAGATGAATATAATAATAAGAATAATAGTTCAATATCTGCATCTCTGCAAAGATTCTTCAATTCTTAAGATTAATGAGTATTGCAATTATTCATCACTAAGTAGTGATAACCTTGTTAACATTTGAGCAGTATCTGAATGTATACAAACTTATTAAATCTCTCTGTATTGTAGAACCTCTGATATATATTATAATTAATATATTCATTGACAGTTATTATGAGTAAGATTAATTATCTTTGAGATCATTTACAGAGTCTTCTAATGTGATTGTAATGTGGCGGAACTGAAGCAGTGACTAGTCAGCAGTGTTATGTAGAGATAGTTATTTAAGAAGCTGTATAAGTGAGCTTAACTATCTTGCTTAAATAGCAAGCTTGTAGGCTACAGAGTTATTGCAAGAATATCACAGATATAATACTTAGTATACTAAGAAGATTGTATGAGATATGCAGTAACTCTTGTATATATTTCTTTTATAGTAAAAGAAATGAATCACTGACTTCTTTTATAAGAAGTCAGTATCTAGCTATTCTATATAGACAATGAGTGAATATCTTCTCTCATTTCATAAGTAAGAATAGCTGGAGTGATATCTCAGCAGTGTCTTACTATCAAGAAAAAGTAATCTGCTGATCTTGTATAGAAGTGAGATTCTCATATTCATCAATCAGATCTTTCTATAATATATTCAAATAATATTATAGAGCAGTTGAAAATCAGTTCAAATGAGATAAAATTATTCACATAAAAGTGATGAGCTGTGTGAAACTGTAATAAGACCTTAACATAGCTGAGAGTATGATAATACTCTTCTCTTTAAGAGTATAGTCTCTATGCTCTTAAGATTACTGAATTAGAAATTATCTTTGTTATATAGCAACAGTTGTCAACTGATTAACAGTGTATATACTGTGTATAATATAAAGAAATAGATGAGTTTTTCTGTTGACTGTATAGATCTTTCTTTTCTCATCTTCATTCAAATTAAACATGTGATAAGTGAGTTTCTTATATATTAATTTAAAATGTGAAAAACATAGTTAATAAGTGACTTACAGATCTCTCAATATATTTCATTCTATATATAGAATTCTCTGCAAAAGTGATGTGTTTTTAGAGACAAAGTTAACAGTAGTGACAGAATTTCTTGAAAAGATCTCTCTCTCTTATAAAATATTTTTCTTTCTCTCTCTCAATCACAACAGTGAGTGTATAAGAGTATCATTCTTGAAGAACAATCAAGAACTTATTCTGATATTTTCTAGTGAGTAAACATCTTCATGATGTGGCAGTGACCTTCATAGCCACTAAGAAAGCCAGGTTGAAGGTGAAGACAGTGATATCAATAAGTCATGAGAGTATTACTTTCATTGTTACATCTTCTTCTTCTTCTACTTCTTTTACAGCTGTGGTAATAGTTGCTGTGCCTTGCAGTGAGATGTCATCTCTTCTGTCAGTCAGTTCATTTATATCTGATCTGTTCTCTGTCTCTCTCACTACTATTATAATACTGCCTCTCTTCTCAGTCAATACAGTGACATATAACCTCATGTGATTATTCAGAGAGGAACTCAGAGAGAGCTTGATTTCAGAAACAGTGACTTTAAGAAGCTCAATCTGTAGTTCCTCTCTCACAGCATATCTGAGCCCTGCTCAGAATGCTGCTGAGTTAAGTCTGCAGAATCTCACAGTTTCTTCATCTTCTCTCTGTAAGAAGGCTTCAGTGCAGTCTCTGATCAGTATCACTACTTATCTACACTGTGCTAAACAGCTGAAGAAGAGAAGGATTTTATACATCTGTCTCTTCTCTCACTCTCATTGTTTTCATTGTATCTGTAATAATAACTTCTATCTCTCTGTAAGTATTATCTCACAGAAAGACATTATATCAGTTCTGATAAGAAGTCTAGATATTCAAGTAGTACAGAGTGAGAGTCTCAGAGTTTCAAGTATTAACAGATTCTATCAAGACTGAGAAGATCTCTCTTGCTCATCTATAAAAGAAGATGAAAGTGTGAATCTCTGAGATGAAAAAACATCTCAGAATGACTGATCTTAAGAAGAGATCAGTCAGTACTACTGTTAAAAGTACTGCAGAGATTAATTACTAATTGAAAAGAATCTCACTTCAGTTGAAGCAGATGACTAAGATACTTTGTAAGTTAATAAATTAATACTTTCAGAATCTTTTATACTCTTCTATAGCATGCTTCTCTGCAGTGCTGCAGTACTAACTTCTTAACAGATAAAGATACTAGTGCTGAAGACTTCAATGATAAAGAATGAGTTTGATGAGAGTGTGATTATTGATAAGTAGACTCTGATTTCTCTTTTTACTTTTTTAGCAGACTGCAGTCTCATTAGAATAGCAGCAGCTCATAAATCAATAATATTAATCTTTTTATTAATTTCAAATATCTCTTTCTTTTCTTATTAACTGCTTCAGGAATTTTATACTTATATAGTCTCATTAAACTTCTAAAAACCCTTTAAGAGAAAATAGAAGAAGAGTGTTACAGAGTCTATAAAACACTGACTTATTACTATGAGATTATCTCTAAAAAATTCTTTAAAAAAAATGAGAAGTCTTAAGCAGTGTTTCTTACTTAACATCTCTGATATATAACAGAGCAGTCTCTACTAGTCATCTCATAGATTACAATCTCTTTCTCAGCATTTTTCAAATACTTAAGCAGTTCTTATAAATTCTCTGACAATGAATAATCTTCTTATTTAATAAGATATTGAAGCTTACTGTAATATATTCACTTATTCAATATTTTCTTTATAAGATATTCAGTATCACTCTTAATCTTAATACTATTCAGCTGAGATGACTCTGCTCTGAGACATTGCTTATAGAGCTTCAAATAGAAAATGTGAAAAACAGAATAAATTGATTTCAATTCTGTGAGTAATTTCAACTCATATACCTGCTTATTCACTACTCTTATTACTGAGAAAGATTCTAGTCACTACTCACTGAGCTTTTTATACAGTCTCATTGTCTTAATATTCTTTACTGAAAGTAGTACTTGATTCTCTATCAAGAACTTCATTAAAAGATATTTTTAATTATAGTATTCTGTCTACTACTTCTAAGCATGATGAATACTTTTTATCATCTTCTTATAAATTTTGTTTAAAAGTTTCAATCTTACTTTTACTTCTAACACTGAGAGATACTTCATTCTCTGTATCTATCTGATATTCTGACTGTCTATTTCTCTCTTTGAAATGTTATCTGTAACATCACTGAGTAATGAAGAATTATATTCATAATAAATATAAAAAGAAGATATCTTTAAGATTGCATTCTTTACATTGTTATATACAAATTCAGTGATTAGAAGATGTTTGAGTCAATTATTCTGATAATATGAATAGAACACTTAAAGATGCTGTTCTAGTGTCTGATTCTGATATTCAGTCTGATCATCAGTCTGCAGATGAAATGCGATACTGAGAAGACATCTTATTATAAGATAATAGTAAAAAGCTGATCAGTATTTACTGATGAAGAGGGATTCTTGATCTGTTATCAACAATTTCAGAGCACTGTGATTATAAATGATAATATCTAAAAATAGATCAGTCAATTCAGAGGCTTTAATCTTTTTATAAGTAGAAATATATCT